TCTTTATTACTAGATGCTTCTATTTAAGTATAGTATTGTTACATGTTAAACCATGTTCAAATTTTCCAGACAATGATTGAAGCCCATGTTGATGTCAAAACTACAGATGGGTACCTTCTACGCCTTTTCTGTGTTGGCTTCACCAAGAAGCGCACTAACCAGATTCGCAAGACTTCCTATGCCCAGCACCAGCAGGTCCGCCAGATCCGCAAGAAGATGGTGGAAATCATGACACGAGAAGTGCAAACGAATGACCTGAAAGAAGTTGTCAATAAGCTGTGGGTAGAATTTTGTATCAATTCTTTAGGAACAATCTTTTTTATTGAAATAGATTTTACTGACAAGAGGCTGTCTGCAAAATATAGTGGTCCAAACTAAATTCTGTTTGGCAACTCGTATATTTTTCTTCTTGTAATCCTCAAGAGACCATTAAATTTTCATAGTTTTGGAACTTACCCAGTTTGATATGTGGCATCATGTATCCATAGTTGCTCATACTTGGAGCACACCTCTTAAAATCTATGGAGGCTAAGATGGCATAACATGTTTCATCAATGTCTCTTGATTGCTGCTCACTGTTACTAAATATGAACCATTCACTTTCCAAGTCATGGCTAATATTTTCTCCACATTTGGAACTAATGTAGTTGTTTTAATATTATATGCATGTGTCATCTAATGAATGATTTTTTTAATTGAAAAGAATCAAGTTTCAGCATATTGTGCTTCTTCCTATTCTCTCTTCCCCATGAATCCACAAAGGCATTTTTTTCCTATTTTGTTAATATTTTTCCAGCCTGTACTCATTTCATGTCCCTTTTTCTTAGTTTTTAAGCAGTCTCCTGTTTGATTCCCCCTTCCACAATCATACACTATCTTTTTTTGCTATACAAATAACATATTTTAGTCAATCTCTTGCTTTAATTCAACTTGCTTTTTAGCTTAGCTTTAGTTTGTGCAAGATAATCCTGTGTCTATGTGATGAGAATCTTTAGAGTGTTGCCTTAATATCCCTGGTTAGTCCATCCTCTTGTTCACACATATTGTAATACATTACTCCTTGACATTTTTTTGACCAAGATGAACCAAGTACCTTTGCTCTTTATTCAGGTCCTGGCCATCCTTTCTGATCATAGTTGTGCCTAGACAATGTAGAAAGAACATAAATAGAGATGAGCACAAACTACTGGTTTGGTGGTTTGTGCTGGTTGGGTTTTTGGCCAATCAAGTGTTCGGTGGTTCCCAGCCCACCTTCTCTGGCAGGTTCCCTGTCAGAGGCAGGGCCCAGAGAAGGCAAGTCAGGGAAGCACCAAACACCTGTTTGGCCAACCAGCCCACCTTCTCTGGCAGGTGCCCTCTCAGAGGCAGGGCCCAGAGAAGGCCAGTCAGGGAAGCACCAAACACCTGCTTGGCCAAAATTTAAATTGGCACAAAGTAGTGGTTTATGCCCATCTCTGAACACAAGCCCTATGTGCCATCAGTACTTGTCCTCTTGCCATAAGAGGAATTTTCTGAAAGACAGAAACAAAAATAGTGCTTTCTTTTGGAAGATTTCAATTCTGGACACGGTTCTTACTAATGTTCCTTGCAATTGTAAAGGCTGGCAAATAAATAGGTTTTTTTCTCTCCCTACCATTCTAGGATCCCAGACAGCATTGGTAAAGACATAGAAAAAGCATGTCAGTCAATCTATCCCCTTCATGATGTCTACGTTCGTAAAGTCAAGATGCTTAAGAAGCCCAAGTTTGAATGTAAGTACTTTGCTGTTTATCAAAATATTGACTATATTTTATTGAGGGAATGAATGATGACAATTTGTTTCGGTCCCAAATGAGTCAATGATTATTCTTTCCTAATTCTGACATTCCCATAAAACAGTTCTTAATGGTTATTTATAGGCATCTAATGAATGCTGATCTGGTGTTATTTTACATTTGGTTGAATTTCTTAGCAGATACACTTTGCAGAAGATTTAGATTGTCAGTGTAAAATTCTTGATGCATTAATTAATTTAAACTATTGCATTATTATTTGCAGTGGGTAAGCTGATGGAATTGCATGGTGAAGGTGGTGGTGCTGGAAAACCATCAGGTGATGAAACTGGTGCCAAGGTAGAGCGAGCTGATGGGTATGAGCCCCCTGTGCAAGAGTCTGTTTAAACCAGATACACAAATAAAAGATTTAATATAAACATTGTGGTAATGTGATTTTCTATGGAAAACCTGCCCGTATTTTGTAGTCACAAAGTGGGTTGCTAAGGTTATCTGATTTACAAGCTGTTTTATTATTTGGCCATTTTGGTACATGCCTGAGAATTCAGCAGGGATCTATTGATAGAAGTGAGAAGCTGCTGCGAGTGACTTCCATTTGTCTTCCACAGACAAAAACCTGCGTAGTAGGGATTTTTGTGTGTGTGTTTTAAGGTAATAATTATTCACTATGCAGATGGAGTGCAGGCATTTTAAAGTCAGTTTCAGTAAAATTCTACGGTATATAGATGGTAGATTAAAATGCTATTTGATATTTCAGGATTGGTGTTTCCTGTTAACTTCAGAATCTTGTGAAATCACACACAAAGTATAATGGACCTTAGAACATCTAAAGCAAATTAGCTGCATTTAAATTTTAGCTTAACTTCTGTCAAGTGGTCTTAAGCCTTGTACTTGTATTATCAAAAGTTATGAGTTTGCAGTTTTCTGCTGCTTAGGTTATGGAAATGTGTTCCTCTTTTATAATTTTATATAGATATAGTTTTATATATTTTTTAATATAAAACAGTTTTTTTATACAATGTCAGTATTCTGTGATTTTTCAAGCTATTGAACATGCTAGTTTTTATTTTTATTGTATCGTAAGAGCCAGTGATATATAGGTAAAATGACAGACTTGCATTCCGGAGATCTGTTCAGACATCTCTTCTTGGCTACAGAAACTCACTGGACAGTGGCAATAGTGAAACCATTCCTTGAAACCCTGTTAGGGCTGCCATAAGGCAGATGTGACTTAATTGCACATTAGAAACAAAATAAATGGTCACATAGTCCTAATTTTTAATCTTGGGGGACCATTTCTGGTCTTCAAATAGTTTTGTGATACAGCATGTCTAGTTCCTCATCACATGCTGGATAGGGCTGATCAGAGTTCTACACCCCCAAAAATCTAGAGGGTTTGAGTTACCCACCCTTGTTTCAATTAAGTGCTCTTGCTCAGTGTATGTGTGGAGTGAGATGCCTAAAGAGACAGATTATTCCCACTTAATAAGCAAAGGCTGTGAATTACTGTATTTTTTGCACCATAAGACTCACTTTTTCCCCACAAAACAGGGGTGTGGAAAGTCTATGCGTCTTATGGAGCGAAAAATACGGTACTTTTCTAGGCCATATGAAAGCCTTATTGTAAATTTCTTTTGTTTGTGTTGATAAGACGTGCTGGTAGAGGATCTGGTTTGAGAAAGAAATAGTTTTAAAGTGCTTTATTTCTTTTTCTTTTTTCCTTTTCAAATCATTGTTTATATACCTTGAATATTATGAACTGGATCCAGCTTGAGGCACATTGCTAGGCTAGTGAAAATCTTGCTTAAGGCAGTTTCACTGGTTTCCAAATATGCTGAATAAGAATGGGGTAGTACTTCGTGCCAGGAGAAAAGGGAATTTCCCACAAATATGTGAGGTATTTTTCACCACCTTAGTGATCTCATGCTCTACTATATTCAGCAGGATCTCTCAAGTCTTGAGGGCACTGTTTTAGAAGGTACCATAATGAGCAGAGGCAATAAAATCTTGTTTTCATCATTCTACTTGCACATTTGTAAGTCTTATCTCTAAGCCAGTACTGCAAATCAGCTCCAGTTATCAAAAATGAATAACCATAATTTAGACCTGCAGAGTTGAAAGGGACTCCTATGAATCAAGTCCACCCTTTGTCAAGGACACAGTGAAAAATTGAACTCCCAGCCTCTACCTCTTCAGCCAGATCCAACTAAGCTATCCAGCATTGAGCATAACCTTTTCCTGTTGTCTTATATACACATAGCAAGAAAAACATTTTTAGAATAAGCATGAACAAACCAGGCTGTAAGAAGGATTCCAGAAAGGGCACCTCCCTTATGAGGAAAGCCTACAGCATGTGGGGCTCTTTAGTCTAGAGAAAAGGCGCATGAGGGGGGACATGATTGAGACATGTAAAAGTATGCGGGGATGGATAAAGTGGATAGAGGGAAGCTCTTTTCCCTCTCACAATACCAGAACCAGGGGACATCCACTCAAATTAAGTGTTGGGAGAGAACAGACAAAAGCAAATCTTTACCTAGCATGTTGTTAGTCTGTGGAACTCCTTGCCACAGGATGTGGTGATGGCATATGGCCTGGATGCCTTTAAAAGGGGATTGGACAGATTCCTGGAGGTAAGGTCCATCGCAGGTTACAAGCCATGATGGGGATGTATAATTCCAGTCTTCAAAGGAAGATGCCTCCAAAGGAAGATGCTGGGGAAGGGGTATCAGGAGACAGGTGCCTTTTGTGCTCCCAGAGACATCTGGTGGAGCCATTGTGAGACGGGAAGTTGGACTAGATGGGCTCTTGGCCTGATCTAGCAGGGCTCTTATGTTCTTAAAGAGACATTTTAATTGAAATTGTAAGTTTAAACAAGTTTTTATCTTAAATTACTTTTTACAGTTTTATTGAGGCTTGTTTTTGCATTATTAGGAGTTAGAAAGTTTCCTGTATCACAGCTTCCTGATAGCTGATGAAGAAGTGAAATTTCACTTATTAGCTTTTTAATTTGAAGAAGCTATTTTCACTTTACGTGTTAAGTATAGTTGACATTTGAAGCCAGCTCTGTTAGTACTGTTTGTGGAATTATATTACATGGATTTTAGATATGATCCTGATGCTGGGTATTCGAGATTTTTTTGAAAGCAGTTGGGTCAGGCCTGTTGCAATTTATCTGACTGGCAGTAAATGTCTAAATCAGTTTTTTTGGAAATAATTAGTAGACTGTGATTGCTTATACCCAGTATAAGTCAAATGGTTTATTTACACACATTTCACATACACAGAAAATATTGCACCGTGGAAGTATACATGGAACTTACCATGTCAAAATGGCTTAGCTTGTCTTCATAGGCGTGATCATAGAAAGGCAATTGCCTAAGTGTGCCCCTAGCAGGCTCCTGTGTTCTTAATCTGTCTTGCATTTGTTGAGCAACCTCTAGCACTGCTGGTATAAGGGAAGGCCTCCATTTTTAATAGGATATTGACTATGATCTGGTAGGTTTAAGAAATCTGGAGCTCTAAATGTTACAATTAAACAGCAGCTGTTTCTACTTTATAATGATGGAATATATTAAGCTAGTCTGCCCTGTGCTATTTTCTTATCGGCCTGTTCTTGTAGTCAGTGCAGAATTCAGAAGCAGGAGCAAAGAGTGGTTGTCCAGACTACTCTATTTCCAATAGCAAGGAGTACTGGTATTTGTAATCCAGTGACATCTGGAGAGTTGCACTTTGTGGTCTCTGGTTTAGGGTCATGGTATCTGTAATACTTTTATATTCTTCTGGGAGGAGATGACAAAACAAAAACATTTCTTTTTAATGAGGATTTTCTAAGAACACACTGAAAAACTATTAGGAGCCCTTTAGATGGCACTGTTGGAGTGAAGTTGTGGCATTTGGCAAACTTAGTATGCAGAACTGAGACTACCGTGCCAGATGCTTATGTAAATGTATGAAATGAAATGCTAATAGAATACAATCCATTCACTATCTAAATGAGAAAATAGTAATTAATGTTTTTTCATTAACAAGGCTATAAAATAGGAGTTTCCCAAGTGCCACTAAATGTCTAAATTAACCACTCGCTCAAAAAATTTGTTGATCATGTCTGCTTATCCGATGTTTTATATAAACAAGTAAACATTGTGAACAGTGTGTTCAAAATTGGTTTTCAGTGGACCCTAAAAACTGGATTGGCATAGACAGCTGTATAAAATGGGAAAATCTTATAAAGCCTATGAAACAGAAGTCATGTGCTGAACTAAAGCAAAATATTAAACTTGGATGGAAAAATTGTTGCAGCTTTTGTACCAGTAAAGCTTTTGTACTCTGCTGGGTAGAAGTCTATACACCTTTGGTTCTGCAAACAAAATTCTGATATTTATAGTCTAAAAAGGAGTGAGTGGACTGTAGTGATAAGTCTTGTGGATATAAAAGCTGTGGTGGTTCTCTTTTTGAGATGAAATATATCCTTGTTTTGGGCAAAAATAGCATACCGCCTATATTTGACCATGTTTGACTCATGCAACCATTGTGCTGCTGCTAGACTGCCTCATATTAGGCACAGTTAAATTATTTTCCTTATTTTACCTCTCTGTGTTGCAAGAGGACTTCATTCATTGAATTTAGAGTAGAGATGGGCAGCTTCTACAGGCCTGGAGGCAGTAATCCGTTCGCTGCTTTGAGGGCCATACATAAACATGTCCCTGTGAAATCAAGAAAATCTACCTGAATGGGTAACCCTTTCTCCTATCTGTTTAAAAGAAGCTGACATCTATTTGTGACCCCAGATAATAGCAGAAATCAGCAATATTCTGAGTAAATATATATGTATAAATGTGAAAGTACACATATAGGGAAGCAAATATGAGCTGCAGAAGAAAAATTGGAACTTTTGCTACAATTTGAAGTGAAAGCACTTGCTAATTATTTGATTGCACCAAAAATACCAAAATAAGAATTTCTTATGTACTATATTTGCAAATATTAATGGAGATAGACACCTTGTAGTTATATGCATAATCTTAGACATAGCATATGGCTACTTAAAGTGTAAATATTTCTAATATTTTAATAGTTAATTTAATTTTATGCAGGTTTTTTAAATTCTAAACATGATGAAAGAAGCACATATTGGGCATCTGGTTCCCAAACAGAAATATAACTGCCAGTTGGTAGAGGGGAAAAACACATTCTATTAAACAGTATTTACTTAATCTACACATAGTGTTTTTCAAATTTCTGATTTGTCTCTGAAAAACCATTTAGCTGTATTGCACATACCAGCGTCACTTAAAGGGAGGGATTTGTTGTCTGTAAATACCATATAAAAATTCCCTGCATGGCTGTGGGAGAAGGCTGTTTTATCTATAAAAGCTTACAAAACTACACATTCAAGAGCTTTGAAGTTACTACAAAGTTCTTGTTTTTCACAAATAAGGAATACTTAAATGGTTGAGTGGACTAATTGCAACTTGTTCAACTACAGTCATTGCTTTTGTAGTTTCAGTGTTTCTTGATCAAAATGGATATACATTATTATGCTGCAGACTGATTAAAGACTGTAATGAGAATTACTCAACAGAAATCTGTAGCTTGCAAATATAGAACAATAACTTATCATCTGGCTGCTGTTTTATCTTGGCAAGTTTCATTTTAACAGGAGCATGAGAAACATGGGGGAGAACCAATTTACAAGAATGTACTGCTTGGTCTTCCATTTACACACTTTTGGGAGGACGGAAAGGAATCCAGTAGAGTGAACAGAAGACGGAACAGGCTGGGACAGATCTGTGATAGTGATGTCTTGCATTGTAGGATTGAACAGCCATGACCCATGAGGTCAGGATTTCACACAAATGCATAGGATGCACATTATTTTCTCACAATAAGTGATGCAGGTTTTCTGAACATACATCATTCTAGACATAGGGGATCAGCTGACAGAAGGGAAACACCACTACCAGTCATGAGGTGAAACCAGTCTTTGAACCATTTGTGTTCATATCACCACGGAACCATTTCAGAGAATCCTGCTCTTTTAATCCCTTTTAATACAAAATAATGCATTACACGGTAGATAATTTAGCTTGCTTGGTTTGAGTAAAATAAAACCTGAAACCCAGTACTTTACAGTGGCTATCCTGTAATCAGGGTTTACTGTTTTCATACAGTGCCTGTTAAGAAAGGGTATCAAGTTACTGAAAATGGAATGCAGCAGAATTAATATTTGAATATTCAGTTGTATACTAGAACAAGATGCATGCTGGTTAACTTTTTCTTGGAACAATGATCGGAGGTGGAGTTTCTGAGTCTTAACTGGAAACAAAGTATTGGACAAACTAGTATATTATAAAAATAGTGCAAAAATGCATTTGATAGTCAAAGATTAGATCACGTGATCATAGAGGGCAGCCTCTGCTACCCAAAATATAATGTGCTTAATAAAATATTCACTTTTATAGGGAGATGGTGCAGAATTGTGTTTCATTCTTAGGAGAGTTGTAGAATCTGGATGAAGTTTTTAGGAAATATTCCAGATTTGCCATGTAATTCTCCACTCATCCATTCTTCATCTACAGATTCAAGCCCTGTTATAATGTCACCAACCTGTTGGAATAAGTAAATTGTAGTCAATAAGAATATGTTTTTGTTAACAACCCTTAAATATATGCTGGCAAAAAAGAGAAGCAAAACATTGTGGCCCTAACCTATTTATTTCAGTGTGAGCTTTTGTGGATCAGAATCCACTTAAACAAAGAGTGCAAATACTCAAAGCTACTTTGAAAAAAAAAACACACCTCACATAATTTCACTACTGTTCACTACCATGGGCTCTTACAAACTCTACTTTGTACCCCTACCCCTTCGTACTTTCATTAGTTAAGCTTCAACACTTGGGTCATAAATACAGATGGGGGTATTTGTATGCAAATATGAATATCCCCCCCACAGGTGGAAATGAGGGTCCGGCCTCATGGGGCCAGACTGTCTACTCATCATTCTTCCGCGGACATGCACTCGATGGAGCCTTCCTATTGCGCCATTGTCCGCAATGGATTAGCTACTCTGCAACCTGTCAGAGAGGCTTGTCATCCTGCCTCCTGCCAGGAGTGGCTAATCCATTGCGAACAACAGTGCGATAGGAAGGCTCTGTCGAGCACATGTCAGTAGTGGAATGGTGAGTGGACAGTAACTCGTTAATTACACCAGTGGGGGGATATTTGTATACAAAAACTCTAGATATAAACTCAGTTAATTAACTGGTTTATATGAAACAATGATACTAAGGTGACGAAGGTTAGTACTGACATTTCTGTAATGCTCTGTCTACATTACAGCACGGTGGAAAATAAAAATGAATTTTAAAATTACTCACTTTAAAAGAAAGTTCATCGATGTTTTCAGCATGAAAATCATACAGGGCCTTGGCTTTTCCTTTTTTCTCACCTGGAGTTTGCGCCGGTTGAGTTCCTCCTATAAGATACAATTGTTTCACAACTAAAATATTAATTTGGGCTTTTTCTCTGCTATCACATCATCTTGCTGTGACATTACATTGGGGAAGGTGAAGGGAAGAATACTTGTTACATACAAGAAGGTAGGGAAAAAACTGCAATTTTCTTTCAGTGGTGACTTGCCACTGCATTTCTTTAAAAAAAGCAAAAGCACTGGTCCATTTACTAATTATCAGCTAGTCAGACATGTTCAGGGGTTTAAGCATCTGGTTGCTGAGCCAGAGGTTTGGCGTTAAATTCCCTATTGTGCCTCTTTGATGCATTGGACTCTGAGCCTTGGGGTCCCTTCCAGCTCTGCAGTTCTATGATGATGATGATTAACAACTGTTCTGTTTTCAGTACAGCAAAGGGAGTGGGAAGAAAGGTAGATTTTACAGTTTGGAGGAGTTACAAATTTGTCATGGGACTGCCAAAATATACCTCCAAATGTGTATTTTTTTTAATTCGAAACCTCAACACAAATCTACTGAAAACAATGTTCAGTTGGTCAATAACAAACTAAGAAATTTTAATCGAAGCTGATGGTTTTGTCAAGATTTCTCTTCGTAAAGGAAGAAAAATACCTACAAAGAAGAAAGCATGATAAATCGCAACCACTGTCAAATTTTTTCTATATTTTTCTTTAGTTAACAGTGAAACTGTAAGATAGCAAATATTGTGTGTATGCCTCCCCATATATCCTTATTCCTAAGTCATATATTTCTACAAGCAAAGCCTAAGCTTCAGTCAAATAATCAGCAATATATAAAAAAAATACAGTGCAGTTTGAAATATATTCAAGGTATAAGTTGTTAGAATGTATCCATCCTGAATATATTTCTTCTCAGCTATTATAAGGCCCCTCTCCTAAGAGATAACTTCATATCCATGTAGAAAAGCTACAGTGCATCATTGATTCTGGTTTGTCTAATTGTCTATTAAAAGGCCTTTATTTAAAATGTATGAAGAGGGAAGAATGACTTTTCTTATATAGAGAATGAAACATATAGAAAGACTGATTTGAGTAAGCTTTGTCAGTTCTGGCAGTAGACACTGCAGATTTTTATCCCCTTGTCCTCCCCTTTTAGATCAGCGACATTCTCGAGATCTGAAAATGTTCAAGTATTTCATCTCCTTTACAATATCTAACAGAATGTATCACAATAAAAGTACTTGAAAGCATTAAGATGAGTTTTGCAGAAGGTTGCAATGTACATTTTACCATCCCATTTGGCAAACTTCTCAGTATTTTCACACGCTGGCACACATCAGAGGAAAATGATTTGATAGTATCAGCGGTGGGCTTATACTGTCAAGAGATCTTCCAGTAGAACTGATGCTCACAGCCAACATTAATTTTCTGTGGGCAATTTTCATGCTGGGAGTATTTCCTAGTGTCATGGCAGCCTGCCCAGAAATGCTGGAAATTTGTTCCATACTTGTTTCATGTTTTACTCAGCAGAATTAAGTTCTCCTTGATGGAAGTGTAAGTTACAGTTTGCAAAGAGTAAACATTTGCTAACTGATACTGTATTACTAGAACAACATGTCCAGTTCTGTGGTGTTCCACACCTTTGCGTTCTCTGTCCAACACAGCCTCCATGAGATGGGAAAGGATGGAACTGCAACAACATGGGGCAGGAGTAACAAAAAAATTTTTTTGAGACAAAGGTCTTGCCACAAGCAGTTCCGATCTGATCTAGAACATACTGGAAATTCAGTCTCTCACTATCTTATGTTCATGCTGTGAACCAGGTTTGGGGGGGAGGAAACGCAAAGGATTTCCTTTACAAGGGAGTTCTGAGCCCAGAGAACAGGCATGAAAAAGATATTATCGTACTTTCCACCTAATGTTATCTTACTTCCCACCTAATGTTCCTTTGATGGATGGAGGGAAAGAAGACAAGTACATCTGGGCCTGAGCATGGATCCAAACTGTAGTTTAGAGGCTGCTTTTACTTAGGTTTCTAAAGACTTTCTCCTGTCATAATCATTCCGTATTTCCAAGACATTTAAACAGTGGCATAGATTGTTAAAACTGAGGAATGGGTCAAGCAGCAGTGCAGTTAGTATTGTGATTACAACTGCAACATCTAAAGCGGGAAACCACTTTATATTCCTAGCAACATACATGCAAACTTTAATTATGTAACTTCTATGAGAAAATCAGAATGGGTGCACATTCAGTAAAAAGCTGTTGCGTATGATTCTGTACCTTCAGAATCTGGACACCTCACAGAACTGTTTACAGTGACTATACTTTGTATACCACCAATGTACCACACAACAGTCTGTATGGCTAATCATTTTATCGCTAAGCAAACATTTTTTCTTTTAATGTGTTGTCTATTTTTGCACTACCTATTCTTGAGTGCCAAAGTACACTGGAACGGATTATCAATTCCATGTCAAAATATTCAGTATTGCCAAGGACCAGTCAAGGCTGTTCTACCAATATACATACTGCCAAAGTTAAGTTTATCTTCAAGCTCAGTGCCCTGAGTTCTCCAAAGTATGGGATCTGCATAGTCAGGGTGGTGGTGAGAATACTCATTTCTTACTTAACTGAAGGAAGAGATGTATCTTGAGCAGGTGCCTGAAAAACAAAATCATCTAAATCTGCCTGATATCAATGGGGAGAGGGGTGTTTTGTTAAATCCAGTGCAACAGATACAGCAAAGTGTGGCACCTTAAAGCCTAAGAGGTTTAGTAAGACACGTGTTTGTGAACTGCAGCTAGCAAAGCTGTGTATGTACATATCTAGTGAAGTGTGCTAGAGTCCATAAAAGCTGTTGGCAAAGAAAACTGATTAGTCTTTAAATACCACTTGTGCTTTCACAAGTTGTAGGTAGCCAAAGGAGATCTCAGGAAGACGACAAGCCAGAGAAGTAGAGTGTTCAAGGCTTGATATATCAACAGTAGTACTAACGATAATAGCAAATACTCCAGAGAAACATATGTCCTTTTCTTCAAGGGTTTTGTGTTCCCTGATAAATTCACAAATTCCAAACTGAACTGTTTACTGAAGCTAGAAACAAACATACATGGCATCTCTCAAGGGAACCTTTTCTATACCTTTAGATGACAGCCATTAGGGAAAGCTGCCTACATAGTATGACCAAAACTGTACACACCACAGGCCCATTTATTTACTCAGCTGTTGAGTTGCCCGATAGGCTGAAGCTCTTTGGACACTGCACATAAAAACAAATAATTCAGCTGAACACACACACATTATTGTTTGGCAAATTCCACATACTGTAGTTCAATGGTCTCCTGTTTTCACTCTGTCATGCTACCAACATGAGCAGGGCTTGGAAAAGTTAACCTTGTTGGACTACAGCTCTCAGAGGCCGGGCTCCTTGGATATGTTGGGAACTGAAGTCCAAAAAGCTAACTTTCTCAAACTGTGAATATGAGTGCCAAGGTGCAGGCAGCATTAAAAAGAGAGACGGCTTGTATGTATGTGCCACATCCACATAAACCCCTGAATGCAATATGCAAGTCATCGGCTGGGCCTGGGCCCTATGCCTTACATGTATGTTTGGATTATTTCTTAATGCTTTGGCCTTTACTTTGACTTCCTTGGTTAACACAGGAGCCAGAAGCTTCCCCTTTCAGAACTGTACCTGAGCAAAGACGAACAAACACCGTAGGGAAAATTCCTTCCTTTCCGTTTAGTCTCCCTCTGTACCACTCTGAGTCCACATGCTCTAATATCAAGATACGGTCTCCCTTTTTAAAAGATAAATCTTCTTGGGCTTCTGCTGTGAAATCATGGAGCGCCTCACACCACTCTCTGGCGTGTCCTTCCACCTGTGAAAATGGAAATGAGCCTTGAGGTCAGTGTGTATGACAAAGAGAACTTTTCTAGTGCTGTTTAGAAAGCAATCCTGCCTTATTAATTCTATACGCATCATTTAAAAGGCTTAAATGGATTAGTGACTTGAGGTTAAATGTGAGAGAAGCTTAATATCAATCCTGCCCTGTGAGGCACAACGAAAAGATAGTGAATCTTTGGTGCAGTTTAAAGAGCCTGTAGCTGCACTGAGGTTATTTCTTTATTTACTCTTTCTACTGAAAGGAACACACTGCATTGCATTTTGAGTACCAACCTTATTTTGTTGGCTTTTAGGGGAAAGGAGGATAAGTATCCAACCACAGACCCAGTAAGGGTCCAAACAGAACTGCCTTCTAACCCAGAAACCTATCACTACCTTTTATGGGTACACAACAGTGGGAAACGGCCCCTTCATCAAGGGGTCTTCAGTGCACTTTAGGAGCTTGAAAACACAGAGAATAAGAGAAAGAGTTTAAACAATGAATAAAATTTAAGAATGGGTAAAGTGAAATAAAAGTTGTGCCTGTAGAAGAAAACATTTCCTGTACTCTTTCTAGTCACAGACTAAAAACATTAGATGCCCACCATCTTATACAAATACTAGTATCCCTGTTTGTCCCTAAGCACTTCTGGAACAGCTTATTCTTTCTGCTTTTTCCTCTCTAGCTGTTGCTTGTGCAAGAGTGATCTGCTCTTGTCTTGCAGGTGTGGAAAGCCTTGTTTGAAGTGACCGGGTAATTTCCAGTTTGCCTAAATTTCAAGCCAGAAACTGTCAGGAAGAACCACACAGCATTCTGTCTCCAGAGCTATTATGCATGGTAAAAACAAGCAGGGTTCTGGCCTATGCATAATACATATACAATGTATACGCATAGCAGTATATACAGGACGCATTTGCATTGTACAACTCCCATGCTGACTATAACATCAAATGGGAAACAAATTACCTCCGTCACAGGTGTGGAATTCTTATTCTTCAGTGGGGTCCCATCACCTGTGCAAAAGGAGAATAAAGCAAAATTATTTATTAAACAGCTAACATTTCCTAATTGCTGTACAGAGATTAAAAATAAAATAATCCTTGCCTGCAAGAGTTACAGTCAAATAGAGATGGAAAAAAGCAAAGAAAAAGCAAATGAATTCAAGCATCAAGTCTTCAAGATACTTGCATCGACTTCAAAGTGTTGATGCTTACTTATAAAGCCCTAAACGGTTTAGGGCCTCGATACTTGGCAGAATGCCTACTCCCACCAAGATCTACCCGTGTCACTCGTGCGAGCCAGGAGGTGAGGCTGAGGAACCTAACGCCGAGGGAGGCCCGGAAGGAAAAGACAAGAAATTGGGCCTTCTCGGCGGTGGCTCCTCGCCTCTGGAATAATCTACCTCCTGAGATTTGCGGGGCTCCCTTGCTGGGTACCTTTAAGAAGGAATTAAAGACATGGATGTTTCGGCAGGCCTTCCCTTCACATAATTCCTGACCTTCTTTTTCCTCTCACTGTTTTCTGTTTTGTTTTTTGTGTATCGCAATGTAGTGTTTTTATTACTTAGAATTGTCTATTTCTACTTTTATTGCATCATTGTATGATTGTTAACCGCCTAGAGTGGTCCTCATCCGACCAGATAGGTGGGATATAAATAAAATAAATAAATAAATAAATAAATCAACCATCTGATCAGGACAAGGGGGCCTCCCTGCCTTTAAATACACATGCACAATCCCATCTGCTTTCTTTCAGCTCTGCATTTCTAAGCAATTCAAATACTGATTTTCCTTGGTTTCACATTATATACTGCCTACCTTCTGTAAGTTCAAGGTCTTGTAAGTATGTGATTCTTTCCCTCCCTATTTTATCTTCACAAGGACTCTGTGAAGTAGCTCAGGCTAAAGGACTGTCACTATTTCAAACTCTTCTGCTACCAATAACTCCAAGTGAAAATTATATTTGTATTTTAATTATAATTCTTTGATCCACCATTTAACTTATGTTATAATTCCATCCCATCAATTGTACTTTTTAAAAAAATCTCATGTAAAAACAAAGAGTGAAAGAAGAGGGATTATAGACTTAACCAACACATTTCATCAACAAAGTCTAGCTCAGTCTTCTTCAGCCTCAACACCAAATGCTTTGGAATACATCTCACATCAGCACCCACCAGCATGTTTTAATGCATTATGAGTCCAGAATACATGAACCCAAGAGCCAGGTTGGGGAGGTAGGCTTGGGAGCACTTATGCCTGAACACAGCATGGAGTGCATTCACATCCACACATTTGAACACCCCGAATTGGAGAAAGGGAAAAGGATTTAACAGTGACATTAGGGATGATTTTCATGATGTTTCTTCAAATACTGAAAGTCATGGTAACTGTCACAGTGCTCTTGCTTTTCCAAAATTCTTCCCCATTAAGCAATGGTTACCAGTCTTGGATCCCCAGATGTTTTTGAACTAAAACTCTCAGAAGCTTTCACCACTAGCTGTGTTGGCCAGAATTTCTGGGAATTGTGGTCTTAGGAAATCTGTGGACCCAAGGTTGGGAAGCACTGCCATAAACTATGGCCTTGTGTTTAATATCATGTGAAAGCACATTGGGGAAAAATTTTTTATAATGAATCATGAATTAATAACAAAGACAAGAACATTTTTTGTGTGGCTAAGTAGAAACAAAACAAAACTTAATTTTTCAGTGTTTCCAGTTGACTAAAATAGCACACTTCAAAAAATTTTGGAGACCTACTTGCTTAGTTTTTTTTTTTTACCTGATTCAGGTAGATCTTCAATAATTTCTACAAAGTTCAAGGGGAAAATTCCTGAGGTGCCTCTCAGTTCTCCTTTGGCCCATTCTTCATTAACATATTCCTTCAAAAGAATGATGTCACCTTCCAGAAAACTTAGTTCATCTCTCTGGTCTCCGATGTATTCAAATCGAGCTATACATCTAGGGCCACTAAAATATGAATCAATCAGTCAATCAAGAATAGTTTTCTTTTTTTTAAAAAAAAAATCTAATTTCTAAATCCCAGCCATAACTGCACTGAGTTGCTACTGAGATTTCACTCACCGCATTAAAAAAAAGTGATCTCATTGCTGACCCGAATAGACAAACTGCCTTTTTTGAATAGCACTAAACACATCCTAGGGCATGCCTACCCATACATGTGAGAGAAATATGTGCTGTTTTAACTGTTATAGTCACTAATTTCCATAACGAAATAGCTAAAGTCTTTCTGTTGGACTGGGCGGTCATAATGGTCAGAATAAAGTATCAGATCCATGTAATGGAAACTAACTATCCACACGTGTCCAATGCCTCAGATACGATCATGGATGTAAGATGATACAGAGATGCTAGTTGCTCATCAGTCTGCTACTGTTACAATAGCTCAGGGTATGATTCAGCTCTCACTACTAAAGCTTCTCCATGCAGTTGCACAAACACATACATGATCATAATGCACAAAGAAACAGTAGGACTTCTATATGCCTCCTGGCTCTTAACAAAAAACAAAAACACCACAATCACCCCCAGATTTCAATTTTGTTTTCAACTGGGAATGGGAATTATTAATAAGATAGAAATTAACACTACTTATTTTATCTCTCGGCTGTACAGCAATGGACTGTGGCTAGCAGAACCTATAGTTAGGCTCATAAGAAGATTGAGAAAACGTAAATACTGTTAACATGGCATAGTCTATCTTTTCAAATTAAAATCTAAGGGTGAAAAAGAACTGCAAGGTTGTAATGCTTGTCTCATATTTTAGGTAAGTAGTATAACCACTGATACATTTCTCAGGAAATAAATATTTCACTGACATCACTAGATTTTGCACAATCTAGAAACATCTATTCTTTTGTTTATTTTGGTCACTGTTAACTAGGCTGGACTAAAAAGACTTTTGAAGAATGAAAAGGAAAAGCAACTCAAGCAGTACACTTAATTTCTAACTAGAATGCCATTTCAACAATATAAGTGAGGCACAATGATTTCCATGTATTATTTCCAGGGCTTTCGAACTGGTATTTTAGTTAATTTTTATAATAAATAGTACAGATCTCTTTCTGTTCTCTGAAATATGAAATGTTCAGCTTCCGAAAATTTTATGCTTTATATACTAAAAATGTCACAATAAATGAAAGATTAAAAGAAAAAAAATATCTCATCACCCTACTGAATCATGATTGCATGTATTAATCTCCAGTCTACTGCAGAAAAATAAATTATTTCTCAAAAGGGGGGGGGAGACAAAGATCTTCTGTATGATAATCTTACAGTATTCAGACACTCAATAGTTGTACTTAATTAATTCAGTACCTTAAATGTAATTTCAAAACTGTATTTTCAAAGGACAGAGCCATGAAGCTGAACATAGGCAATCATTTTTGCTTTAGGAGCTGCCTAACAGATATAAAGGCATTTGCGATCATTACCTTACGGACATAACTCATTTTTTAATGAGAATCTTAATCAAAATAATTGTTTTTTTCCCTTCAAACATTTTATTGCCTATCTACCACAAGTACAGACTGCACAAGTAGAACAAATTAACATGAAAGGCTTGTTTGAGATATGATCCCGTCTGCCAGCTCCCTTAATCATGGCAAATCAAACTAATGTTTAGCTTTGACACACACAAAAAGTCTTATGTGTTACCTGAAGTTGTAATTGATTCTGAATGAGCAAGGAGAAAGAGACTAACATTTTAAAACTACAAACTCAAAAGTATTTTCAACTGAATCAGGTCATCAAGACATCTGTATCTCAACTTCTAAAAAGCAAGGATATCTGTCTGAGCTAATGATGTCCTGTCACACTGTTACTGATACAGTATATTCTGTGCTTCCTTCCTTTCTGCTAGCACATGAGGTCTTTCAGGAGGGTGCAAGTTTCCCAGCCTTCTTTTGCTGGAATTCAGAAAACCCTTTGTGGGCTTAGAAGGCTCATGCAACAGGTAGTCATGTGAGAAAGAAAGTTCTGTACACCCTCTTTGAATTCTATGGTTTTATGTATCAGGGCATAATAAAAAGCCATCTGGTCCTTAGCAATTCGGAAAATTAGGTAAATAGAACCTCAGATGAACAACAGATGACATATTACACCATGTCATGATTTATTTAAGAAAAATAAAGCCAAAATGGAGAAGTTGTGTGAAAAACTAAGTATACCTTATGATTGAATAGCTTGTCGATCCATGTTCAGCAGCAATAACTTGGAAGTACAGTAATCCTTTTCTACATGACTTTATCAGTCTCTCACATCGTTGTGGAGGAATTCTGGCCCACTCTTCTTTACAACATTGCTTCAGTTCGTTGAGCTTTGTAGGTATTTGCTTATGCACAGCTCTCTGAAGGTCCCACCACAGCATTTCAATTGGATTGAGGTTTGGACTTTGACTGGGCCATTGCGACACCTTGATTCTTTTCTTTTTCAGCCATTATGTTGATTTGCTGGTGTGCTTGGGATCATTGTCCTGTTGCATGACCCGATTTTGTCCAAGCTTTAGCTGTCAGACAGATAGCATCACATTTAATTCTGTATACTTTGGCATACAGAGAAGTTCATGGTTGACTCAATGATTGCAAGATTCCAAGTCCTGTGGCTGAAAAACAAGTCCAGACCATCACCCCTCCATCACTGTGTTTGACAGTGGATACGAGGAGTTTGTGCTGATATGCTGTGTTTGCTTTTCACCAAACATGGTGCGGTGCATTATAGCCGAACATTTCCACTTTGGTCTTATCTGTCCCAGGACATTTTTCCAGAAGTCCTGTAGTTTGTCCAGATGCAACTTTGCAAACCTAAGTTGTGCTACCATGTTCTTTTTAGAAAGAAGAGGCTTTCTCCTGGCAACCCTTCCAAACAAACCATACTTGTTCAGTCTTTTTCTAATTGTACTCTCATAAACTGTAACATTTAACATGCCAGCTGAGGCCTGTGGAGTCTGAGATGTAACTCTTGGTGTTTTTTTGCAATTTCTCTGAGCATTGCAAGATCTGACCTTGGGGTGAATTTGCTTGGACATCCACTCCTGGGAAGATTGGCAACTGTTTTCAATATTTCCCACTTACGAATAATCTTCCTTACTGTAGAATGATGGATTTTAAATTGTTTGGAAATAGCCTCATAACCCTTCTCAGACTGATGTGTAGCAACAATTGCTTCTCTATGAGCATTGCTTAAGTGCTTCCTCCATTGTGTTAACATACTCCTGAATCCAGACCATCAGACTTTGGCTTTTATAGAGGTGGTCACACTTGTGATAATCAGTTACTCAAGTGCATTTGGTTAACAACAGCTGGATGCTACTTAGCCTCTTAATTTCTATGGAAACAGTAAGGGTGTACTTAGTTTTTCACACATGGCTTTTCCATTTTGGCTTTATTTTTGTAAAATAAATCATGACATGGTGTAATACGTCATATGTTGTTGTTCGTCTGAGGTTATATTTAGCTATTTTCATACCTGCTAAGGACCAGAGGATTTTTATTATGTCCTGATATATAAAACCATATAATTAAAAGAGGGTGTACTTTCTTTTTCACATGACTATGTGTGTGTGTGCGTGTGTGCACATAACTCTCCAACTTCTGTTCATAATTCCAGTTATGGTTACGTGTACAGTGATAACTACACACAATTAATTTGAACCACAGAAGCAGCTTTGCAGAGGTGCTGCAGCATAAAAGAGCTTTTTTTTTCTTTTGCAAAACTGAAACTTTGTTCATGGATCCTGTTTCACTAACAGGTACAGTGTTTAGATACTACTTTAAGGTACTATTGTGAGGTGAACATTTGTATAAAGACATACATCATACTTGGTGATGAAAAGTTTACTTTTTTCCTGTCGCTTTCTCCCAGAACATCAACCTAGAAAGCAGAAAACAAGAGGATTTAAATGTTTCGGCTATTGAATGTATTTAGTTTTCGAAACACAATAAGGTTTATACCAACTCGTTTAATAAAGCTGCAGTTCCAGCTGTAGCCTTCATGTGGCAATGCTCAATTGTTGGAATGTTTGGGTCACTGATCAAAACTGAAGGGGTTTGTTTCATTATCACTTTTTATTCGGTATTCTGGAAGACATGCCATGTTCTATATTTTTGTTTTGTTCCTAAAAGCACAGCTCAGTACCAACAGTCCTCTCTTGGCTGCACACATGACTAGATGAAATCAGGACAGAACATAATTATATGCTGTTGCATTTGGCACCTGCTGCTAATTAATACGTATTACTATCTATTATCTGCTCATTCACATCACAATGGTCAGAATTATTATTCAGACATATCTGTTCCAGAACTTTAATCTCTGACATCTTGCCATCTGCAAGCTAAAAGATATAAACATATGTTGAAAGTCTACAACTTTATTCATACATAAGCAGAATTTTAAGAAGCTGGGTTTAATGATAAATTACCCAGAGACTCTGACACGGGGCTTCTGGCAATATACTCAGGAAATATATGCTATAAAAGCAGCTACAAAGGGCCTAGAAAGACTGTTGTAAACTTTTACTGCAAAGCAGTAACTGCACCTAGAATCAGATTTCCTATCTGATTTGTGATATATCTCAGGCAGACTATCAAAGAACCCAGAACAACTGTGCTTGTTGCTATATTTTTGGAACTAATTAACTAAATGGATCACTGTAAACGAGCAAACAGGAAAAAACCCAAAAATATACATATGTATGTAGCAAATAATTTTTCATGGTTACATTCAAGTGTGTTTGCCCATTCACCTAAGGACCTGTCATGAAAGCCTATATATTTATTATGATGAATATATGAACAACTACATATATTAGGTATTAGGCCACTGTAATTATTTATCATTATTTACTACTGCTCGTTTCTATGCCACTATTCAGTATAAATATTCTCAGGGCAGCTCACGCAGTAAATAATCAGATGTGCCTCAAGCTGTTCCAGATGCACAGCAATATGGCATCAGGCAAAAAGCATGTCTCACAACACTCTGGAAAGAATAAAAGCAGCCCTAAGCAGAGTGCTATATCTGTTTCATAACTTGAAACCTGATCATCAAATTGAATCTTGTATTCAGGTGAAAGTAAGGTTATCTGGGCTTGCATGCACATCTCCCTTCAACAACACTGCAGTTAGGAGCACCAGACCCACGTGTAGTTCAAAATCCCCCCAAAATATAATTAAAAGGCATAAACAGTTGATTCTCTGTGTGTGTGCCTCTCTCTCTCTCTTTCCACAAACTACTGTGTGTAATGAGCCTTAATGGTCCTTATGATCCCCTTATTAGAGATGTTGTGTTTGGGGGCAAGTAGACTGATGCCCTCAGTCTTGAACTTATGGGGTTCTGGACAGCCAGGGGCACAATATCGAATATTTATTTGTTTATTGAAAAAAAAACAACTGTGTATAACTGAAACCGTGTTGTTCAGATTTGTGCAGTTCAAGTGAGCACTGTATTTGGATATCAGATGGTTCAGTCCCACATAAGCAGATGTCCTCAAACCATAACACTACCTATATTTGAAAACTTACAGTAAACCCCATTTAAATCAGAGGTAGGTCTCTTCATATGCCATCAGACTGCTCCTCTCAACATTCATCAACCTTGGCTATGCTAACTAGGACACATGGGAACTCAAAGGGCTCCATCCTGCCTACCCATATTTAAATAGAAAGACTAAGTCCACAAGGACACCATGAAGAAAATGTGAAGATAAATTAAATTAAATCTTCACATAAATTAAACTCCATATGAAACTTAGCTTATGTCATATCAAGTAATAGGCCTTGTTGCTCTTGCAAAGACACAGAATTCCAGAACTGGGGCAAACTGGTTTCAAACTGATCTGCGCATTTTAAACAAATGTGGGCCTGAAAATACAATTCAAATGCCTTGAATTTCAATATAGCTATATGGCTAACAATTTTCAGTATTCTCTGATAGAAAGTGCCTGCAAGGATGTTTTGCTTGCTGTTTTGGATATTTAAATCCATGTGAATAGTGTGTGGCACATGAAATCACACTATCTGGTTTCTTTTCCTCAAACTAAGATTTGTGTTAAATGCTTAAGAAGCAGAGGCAGGAGAAAACCTGACTTCACAGGAAATACAGTAAGCTGCATGCCTTAATTTATTATGCTTAGGTGTGTAGGGCCACGTGTTTTGCAAACAGTATTATTATTGCAGGTGAATGCAGAGCAAATCAACATTCTATAAGGCAATTCTACAAATGAGATCAGGTCAAATTAAAAAATATATAACTTGTTATAACTGTATAATTTTCACATGGGGCTTCAGATCAGTACCAACTTTGGCACAGTTTTGGAAGACAAAGTGCTGTCGCTCTATGCCAATTTTGGGGAAGTTTGGGCAAAAGGTTTTTCAATTATGATTTCATGAACTTGTTGAAAAACCGCCCCAACAATTGCTTTGTGTTCAAGTGAGAAGTGGTTAGCCTCTAAAGCTATCTGCCATAATTTGGTGCCTGATGTTTTGGATTACAATTTGCAGAATTTCTGGCCACTGGCTAGAACTGAAGTCCAAAACATCTGGAGGGCCCAAGATTAAAGAAGGCTGTTCTGTAGGAGTTCTTTGAAAACCAGTATTAGAGTTATCTGTGAAGATTCTCAGTGATACAGATGTGGTTATCTAGAACTAGAGTCATGGCAACTGGACTTCTTTCTTATTAGGTTAAAATGTTTCATCTAAGTGGTTTCTTCAGTCTGAGGAGAGTTGGTAGGAGATCCCTGATATATTCTCCACGTTGGTTTCACTTCGCCCTGGTCTGAATAGGCTTGTTAGAAGGACAAATGACTGGGGGTGAGGGATAATCCCACTTCTGCAGTCCTTGTCTATCCATTGTCATGGGTTAACGGTTGCTAACAGTGGTCTTTCTGGTGTGTGTGGTCCTAATCTTTCTGGGGATGGATGAAAGGGCAGCATGATAAATAGGAGACAGATTGTATCTAAGGCCTCCACCTCTGTTGAGTGAGGGATTTTCTATATGCACATGTATGGCCTCCCTGACCCTTCTCTCAAACTCCCTATCATCTAGGTCCAAAATCAGTACATCTTGGTCCTCAAACGAGTGTCCTTTGTCTTTCAAATGAAGGAACACTGCTGATTGTGGTCCCCTCCTGTGCTGGGCCATTCTCCTGTTTAGTGGCCATTTGGTTTCTCCAATGTAGAGCTCCGAACACTCCTCTTTGTATTGGACCACATAAACTACAGTAGAACCTCCATTTACAAACGCCTCAGTTTACGTAATTTTCAGTTTACAAATGGAAATCCATTAAAAATAATGCCTCGGTTTATGGGTTTTGTTGGTTTGCGAAGAAGGTTTCCCCAGGATGCATTGTGCCTGGAAGTTTGTAGCGTCACCCCCATTCCTATGGCAATCCACGTTTCAGTTTACGAATTTTTCACTTTACGTACATCCCACAGAATGCATTAAATTCATAAACCGAGGTACTACTGTATATTGCTCCTGTTGTGTTTTGGTATCCGGTCTTTTGGGTGGACAAGTCTCTGCCTTAGTGTGTTTTTGTGTTTGAAGTACATGGGAATGTGGGTTTTACCAAAAATCCTTTTGAGCTTTTCAGACAAACCCATCATGTAAGGAATAGCCAGGTTCTTCCATTGGCTTTGGATCTTAGACTGTTCCATTGTCCTCCTGGGTCGGGACACTGCTTGTTAAAGGTCCATAAACACACTGACTCTACTTCCAGATAGTACTAGGAGTTGTATGTAAATATAGTTTCTTAATCTGTATTGTACCTGATGGGTTTCCTAACATACTGCCCTGCATCTGTTGTAATTACAGCACTTTAGTAGGTGGATAGAATACTGAAAATGTAGCAGTGGAAGATAATCATTTCTGATGTATCAACAAGAAATTCAAAAGGGAATCTGATGTGGGGGAAAACACCACAGCACTCTTTACGATGATTTGTTGGCACACTTGAATTAAGTAAAGGATGTGTTCTCACTTAACTTGAAATTATCATGAAAATGATGCCCATAAAAAGTCAGGCAGAATTGCAAGATTAAACAGAATTTCTACACCTCACAAACAAGTTGATATCTGCTTTGTGCACTCAGGCACGATTTATCTACATGGCTTGCTCAATAAAATACTCAGGGGAGAAATTAATTTGGAACTGGGATGTATGCACAGATGGAATGCACTATATTTCACATGAAGTGCCCTACTTACAATAACTTTGACAAAACTAGCTGGAAAGATCCCCGTGCGATTCCTACATTTTCCTCTGTACCACTCATTATCTATTTTTTCCAGAAGATAAACAGTCTCTCCAGAATTGAGGGCCAGATCTTCTGTATGTTCTGTGGAAGGGAAGAAAACATATTATATCTCTTATTAATCATGGCTAATGCACTAAACATTGCTTAGTATGGCCTCACTTTAAGCAAATATATTTTAAAACAAAGTGAAGCTTGAAAACAAAACAGAAAAATAGCATGATGGGCAGGAGTAAGCTCTAATTTACAGGTGTCTCCTGTAACTGTTCCTTGATAAAGGAAGAACAAGTTGCTTCCATGTAACTTGGTTCTTTGAGTGATTATCCATGAATTCACACCGTTGGTTTATCTGTGATGTATGGAAGCCCATCTGGAATGCTCTAGAGCGCATAGCTGAAAGCTAAAGAGCTTTGCCCCTCCCCAACACACTGTATGGATGCTCCAAGGCACTAGCAGCTTTCCCTCAGTCTTTCTCCATCCATCACACATAAACTACAGAGAAGGCATGGTGGACAGAGGGAGAGGATGGAGAGCTGTGTGAGTTAACAAATAACTACATGAAGAACCAGTTATAGGAAAGCAACTTGTTCTTCTCCATGGTTTCTGTGAATCACACAATTGGATGACTTGCTAGTTTAAACCATGGTGGAGGGATGACACACCAGCAAATAATTACTGCAACTCAAAAGATAACACTGCTGAACCGAACGAAGTATCATTCCTGGCTTGCACATTTAACCTATAGCATCTCACCAAAGTAGATGGCAGGGATTACATAGCCACTCTACATATATCTTGAATCGACTGCTCTAAAGAATGCTGTTGAAGTACTCCCTGCTCTTGTTGAGTGACCCTTGACTTCTGATGATAAAGAAACTTAAGCTAGATCACATGCTAATTCACTTTGAAAGCCCACTGGGAAGAAAGAGCATAACCTTTCCTGTGACCATGGCAGCAAACTAAGAGTTTGACTTTTTTTCTAAAGCCTTTGCTTTTTGACTGGTAGAAAGCAGACAACCTTTTGACATCAAGAGAATGAATCGTTCTCTCCAAAGATAAGTACGGAGAGGGAAAGAACATCAGAGGACAAAATGGTCTGTGGAATGAAAAGCAGGGACAACTTTAGGCAAGTAGTCCATGTCAGGGTGCAATGTAGAATTGTCTGGATGGAACTGTAAGAATAGAGAACCACATCCGAGGGCAAATAAGTCACCGGCCCTTCTGGCCAATGTAATAGCTACTAGGAATACCATATTGAAGGATCAAAAGGAAACCTTGTTAGCTGAATGACAACTAGAGATAGAGATCAAGGCATGATCAGTGTATGCACATCTGTGGATGTGTTATGTAATCCCCTTACTGTACCAACCTTCTTATCATCCAGCTAGCAAGTTGTTTCAGGACTGTATCATCAAAAGATTCCTTAGGGTAGTGGTTCCACTAGGAATAACATATTGAAGGATCAAAAGGAAACCTTGTTAGCTGAATGACAACTAGAGATAGAGATCAAGGCATGATCAGTGTATGCACATCTGTGGATGTGTTATGTAATCCCCTTACTGTACCAACCTTCTTATCATCCAGCTAGCAAGTTGTTTCAGGACTGTATCATCAAAAGATTCCTTAGGGTAGTGGTTCCCAGTTTTGGATGACCCAGGTGTTCTTGGACTGGAACACCCAGAAATCCTGGCCAGCACAGTTGGTGGTGAAGGCTTCTGGGAACTGCAGTCCAAGAACCCCTGGGTCATTTTTACTACTGTCCTGTGGATAAAGGGAAACAGCAGGAACAGATACAGAAGATTCTCTTTCCAGATCATGGTGAACGCATCTCCCATGGAGCCTCTTCCTACCTCTGCTGGGGAGCAGTAAAAATGGCACTTCTGAAGTGCCTTGAAGTGAACATGTCTGCAACTGACATTCCTCACTTTTGAATTATGATTCTAAAAGCATTCCTTGCTACTTCCCATTCATGTGTTCTGAGTAGACTGTCGGCTGAGAGAGCCTGCTTCCTGATTGCTGCCCTCTCTTCTATGTGAATTGCTGTAGGGAAAACACACCTGATTATGCACCAGTCCCTTCAAAGGCTCACAAAGCAGAATTTAAAGATCTTTGCACATACATGATTGTTTCTTATTTTTGTATTTACCTGCCAGAAAATCATGTAGAACTACCGCATGAGGAGCACTTGGATCGGAAATGGTCTGTGTGTTCTCAGATTCCTTAAAAACACAGTAAATTTGGAAATTATAATGCTTGATAATATATTAGTTGTTTGGGGACTATGTGGATACAATTACTATTTGAAGCATCCATCACTGATTGAAATACCTCCTTCATTGGGTCATGTTCCTAAATGCCACATTCAAAGAAGATTTAAGGCATAAAACATGGGCCCTTATTCTTTTCTCAGTTAATCTGAATTTTAATACTGCCAGATCTCATTGAAAATCAATGGTCTTAAACTGGTCTACTTCATAGCTCAGCAAAGAAACTCACCTCTTTGACAACAGCACACAACTTCTTTGTTACTCTAAATGAGATGTGTGCATATCTAATCTTCTTTCTCATTAGGGAAAATTTCTAACTGATTCACAATATGCCAACAATGCTAAATTCCCTTGAAAAGCTTGAGCAAAAGATAGTGACTGTTCTAAAACCCAGCATCCATTTTTATTTTTCAAGAGCCACTTGTATACTTCTGAATAATAAATTATACACCTTTTCCAAAATGATGAGATGCTAACCCCTTCCCATATTATACCTGAAAAATTATGTTTTGGATCAGTGTGGACTGGCATCACGGCAATGTTAGTCTCCAAGTATTGGCCTGGAATAACTCTTAACAGACAAGTTATTCTGGGGACTGGAGAAATATCCAGAAAGCTGCAGTCTTGACCCAATATCCTACTGTACTTGCATTAAGCAGAAAGTCCTACCAACATAGTAATCCTGGATTGTGCTGCTTGTGCAAATAATAATCTTAAGAAGAAATTGCAGCCTCCACTTGTGCAAGGGCAATGCTGGTGGAAGCAGTGCAATCTCACACAACAGTTTTGGCAGGATTTTCAGCTCAGCACAAGCTCAATAGGACACCACCTTCATGTGCAAGAATTATTTAATATTTTATACATTAAATACTATAGCCCTATTCAGGTGTTAACCAGGGTTTTATCACAGTGGAGATTTGCACAAGAAATTCAAGTAGCCAACATCCCTACCTCACCTGAAAGTTATCCAGATCTGTGTGTGTTCATTAGAAGGGTCTGAAGAGGTATCTGCAAGCATGTTCACCTAACCATGTTTTCAGCACTCATGTTCTATCAGGACTGCTGACTACATAAGTGCTTTAAGCATACTCAAATGAAAACACTTAAAGGTGTGAAGGACCAAGTAACTTTCAGAGAAGAGTGGCATGGTGGGGCAGGACTGACTTTGAATCCTATGTCCCTATCAGGCTTAAAGCCCTATATGGTTTCAGGCTGAATGGGGCTTTAATTACAATCATTTTCTGTGTTATTACTGATATGCAGTTCTTGGTAAATGTAGATGCAGATATTAACATTCATACCCTTTGCCTACTTTTCAAACTCTCATCCAATGGTGCTATGATCTGCATTTGGGATAATGGAACCTTGCCAGTTTCATCTCTCTTTTGGCGTTCAGTGCGGCTGTTGTTGACGTCAGCAGGCACAAGCACGTCTTCTTGCTTTAAAGTTATAAAAAGTAATGGGAGTCATGATTTAGAATACTGCATCGGTATACTCAAGTGTCAACATCTACAAGGAACAGCTTTACCTTGGAAGAGAGGCGTCCAGTATTTGAAGCAGAAACATCTTCCTTGGCAATTCCATGCAGCACAGGAAGCTTAAGAAAAAATGAAGCAGTTAGGTACTATGGATAAAGTGAATTTCTTTAAAACAATTTGAAACTGCCTCTACATTGTGAAGAGAATCAAGATACTGACCGAATTCTGAGTGCGCAAGGGGTCAGTGAATGTGCACTTGTCTTTCGTTGTCAATTGCACATGGGGATGTTCACTTCCTGCTGGCACACACTGTTCTTTTCAGTGGGATGAGCATCAGGTTGCAAGCTGGATATCACCTGAGCAACCATGAAGCACTCCACCCACAAAGCAGCTACGGTCTTCAGGTAATAGAAATATAATTTGTCTCTTCCTGACTGTTAAAATTTCTCGTTAATTCAGAAGCATGTTTTTGACAACATAAATGTGTTAGATGAACTACAGCTTTAATATACAACAGATCCCTAAGTACTAGTTAATTCGCCAGTCTTTTTTAAAACTTTCAGGCTTTAAAGTTTGTCTAGACTTTATGTCCTATTACAAAGCTAATCCTTTCATTTCTATATGAGAGGACTTGGTTGTGGATAGTATCAAAAGAAGATGCTCCAAACAGACCAAGTTACAGTACTCAATTTATAACTTGAAAGGATTCAGGCCTTGAGATCTACACTGGAGAGAAACTTTGGCTAAACTCTTGTTAGACTTGGATCAAAATAAGCTCTGCTTTACTCAAAAAACAAAGGGACCCATCCCTGTGCAAAACTGTCACCTCAAACAGCAGAATCAATACAGGCAATACAACCATGATCACAACAAAATGGCAATAGCTCTACACCACACAACAGAAAATTATTTGAAAGACATTAGGTTTAGACACTATGGCCAACAGTGTGTTGAGCTTCCACTGAGCAGAAAGTCTTGCCAGTCTTTTTCCAGGCACAATTCAAAGTGCTGGTTTTGACCTATAAAGTGCTACACAGCTTGGGCCTAAGGTATCTCAAAGACCACACCTCCCTATATAAGCCTGCTTGGGTTTTAAGATAATCTGTGGAAGCCTTTGTCTTGGTCCCACAGTCCTCACAGATGTATTTGGTGGGGACATGAGAGAGGGCCTTCTCTATCGCTGCTCTCAGACTCTGGAACTCCTTCCCACAGGCAGCCAGATTTGCACCGTCTTTGCTATCCTTCTGCAAGAAAGCAAAGACCTTTCTCTTCAGGCAGGTTTTCTCTCAGTAACTGGTTACATAAGAGATATTCCCAGAAATGCGGCTGCTGGGTTTCTGTGAGTTTTTTTTAAATGTATTTTTACATAACCATAGTCCCTCGAGACTGAAGGATGCCTACACATTTTTACCTACCAGTTTTAATAGATTTAATTCTTTTTTAACATAGTAATAATTTATTCTTTATTTTATATCTTAATACTGTTTGCCTCTAACACTCAAAATCACTTTAGGTTTCCTGTCAGGAGGAAGGTAGGGTATAAATAGTTTGAATAAATAAGAAAGAAGTCCAGATGCCATGACTCTAGTTCTAGATAACCACATCTGTATTACTGAGAATCTTCACAGATAACTCTAATACTGGTTTTCAGGTATAAATAGTTTGAATAAATAATGTGGGACCACATCACTTGTTGCTAGTGTTGACATTGCACAAATGGTGACCTGCATTAAGAAAACCTGCTGTCCACTTGCAAACAGCAACATCTGCAGAAGTGGTAAGACACTGTGTTCCTACATTTGCAGGACTTTGTGCTCAGCCAAAACTCCCTCAGATAATGGTCAATCATAGCTGCCACAAGCCACATTTTGAAGCATCACATAGGACTGGGTCTAAAAATTATCTTTGTTTTAAAATTGGTGTGTGACTTGCACATGTTTTTAATATGTGGCTGAGCCAATGTTTATTGTCCTAGAACTTACCATGTATTTACTGTAGAGAGGGTGGCCTGGTTTGGGTCGAGGAGGTAAAACTGGGTCGAGATTTTTAATAACATCACTCTTGGTCCTCTTCACACTCAACCCAAACATGCTGGTTTTCTTATGGAGTGTCATATCAGATGATGAGCGAGAAAACTTGTCTATTTGGGATGAGGACTTGGTAGATTTGGGTGGTGGTGGCCTTCCTGGGGCACCTTTAGGTGGAGGAGGTCGAGCTGGCACAGTCTTTCCCTCACCAGGCCTAGTGAGGGAGAGCAAAGCTGAGTTAGATAGCCACCAAAATACTATAATCATCATAATAATTGTGCACTATCAAATGGTACCGCAAGCCTTTCCAGGGGTTTGTAGGTAGAAAACACTCTCAAAACTGGTTTGTATTCTTCTAGGGGCACTCTGGGACTATGCAGCTTGCCCAAGGCTATGCAAGCCGGCTTTACTCCTAGGATGCACCATACAAATTCCATATCTCACTCACTGAGCTATCCAGCCAGATTTACAATAATTCTATAAGACCAGATTATTTTAAAAACTCCTAGAAAATGAAAACCCACAAAAGCTACTGGAGGGAGGAAGCAGGGATTGGATAATCAACACACTTTCCTAAACTATTCTGCTAAAGAGATAATTCAGTTTCTGTTCTCCAGTTTGATGACACACAACCAGCCAGTTGAGTAAGGTCGGCCATCATTAATAGATTTTGTCTGATCCTGTCAAAGGCACTGGGTGTATTTTAGTTAGCTTGAGTGAAGTCTTGCTGGGTCAGCTAGGCAGAATCTTAGGAGACTGTAAGATGAGCATTGAACAGTGGGTTGGACTCAATGGCCTTATTATTCTATGATTCTATAAATTATTCTGATTCTATAAATTAAAGTGTTTACGCCATACCTCCCCAGAAACACATTTGGCCGCCTTAATAGTATACATTGTTTTTATTAACTTTGAACTTTTTTCAATATTATTTTAAACACAACAATTTGTTACAAAAAAGTTTTCTAAAAAGTTAGCCAAATTGTAGTCAAAAATAGTTAAGCACCATTTGATAGGATGAAGTGCCTTTTCCTCTGTGACAGATTTGCTCAGAACCATTAAAATAGGAATGCCACTCAGTTTTCCCCCCTCAAGCCCTAAAGTGCTTTTGGACATGTATGTCTTCAGCAACTGAAAATGTGGTAGGTATTAAAATTTTATTTTCCCCCAGTGCTCTCTAAATTACCTGAATCCTTAATTCAATAGTAAGTTCTAAGCTTACTCAGGTGGCTAGGGAATGATGGGAAATTCAGTCTGACATAACTATTCTCTTATGGCCTCCTGATGGGTCCTGGCACATTTGAAGGGGCCCACAGACTGAAAAAGTTTCTGTTCATCTGTTCCTGTTTTGTACATGTTTGAGAAGGGGTCCTGGAAGTTGAGAAGAGCTCCTAAAAGAGCCAGCCCCTCACCCCAAAAAAACTTCCAGCTGTTGTAACGTCACTAAGAATTCATAAAGCAAAAGAAGAAAGCTAAGATTTAAGGATTTTTTGTGGCACACACTTTTTAGAGGACACCCTAGGCAAAAAAGGAACAGAGCCTTTTTCTCATACCCTTCTCTTTCCTGTCTTAACCCAATTCATAGTTCACCTCCTTTCTTGGACTGGCACTGTGATAGCTTGATTCTGAAGAAGTAATGTTCCATCCGGTTTGGGAGATCAGGAGCTAACTCCATTTGCTAGTCCCAAGTATAGCAGACACACAATGATTTGGGACTTTTGTAAGTGTTGTCCTACACATTAATTGGGTCTCCTCTGGTTGGGACTAGCTACTGGATTTAGCCCGCAGTGTTTGGAGAGGCTGGTCAGAGAAATCCTCTTTATTTCTTGACTTTATTGGCTAGTCTAAGCCGGGCAAATCAAAATTTGTGTGTTCCATAACAGGAGGTTTCCATGCCATTTGCTAAAAAGAAAAATGTGAGGCCCATTTTACTCCAAGCCCCTTGTTCCTTCTCTAGAATATCTCTACTTCTTTAAACAGGTATAAATTTTCCATAGCTGGTATGAGCAAAAGTCTTGCACTCTCCCTTGGTTAACATTCATTAAACCTTTTTATGGTAAATTTGTGCCACTTTGCACATTCATATTTAAAACCTTGCTAAAATATATCGCTTATTAAATTCTCCATAAAATAAATCTCTTTTATCTACTTATTTCTCAGCCTATCTTATCTGAAAAGTAAACACTCCAATTAATTTATCAAATGATCCTCCATGAGGGGAATGACCAATAAAATGTTACTGGAACGTTATATTTATTAAAAAAATTTAAAAAGGAAATCAGGTTTAAACGGAATAGGAAAGGTTTAGAGTGCATGTTTATTAGGAACTTAGGAAACAACAATAAAGGCAACATATAGTACACATAGTATAACTAGGCAGGAAAAAGAAAATACCATACTTATAGAAACAGCAATAATGATTAATCTCCTTTGAGATTAGCTGAAGCTTGCTGAGACAACACTCTAGAGCCTAGTGCTATTATCACCACTGTTGTAATTTGATTTGAGAAATAAAAAGGGACCCCTGTCTTCTTGCTATGTGAGACTGGATTGATCCAGTCCTATGATCGGTTCTATCTCTATATCTGTCTCAGAACAACAGTGATGTAATTTCCAATTTATTTTACAGCTGCTTAGAATGGCTTGCTCAGCAGTCTCCTTTTATAGAGGGAAATCTAAAAATTTTCTTAAGGCACTGTTCATACATAAAACTAGCTCTGCAGCTGAATCATAAGAAGAGGATCCAGCATGGGAAGTTCTCTGAGTGAAACAGTTCCTTACATGGCTGTTGAAACTTCAGCCATAATAATCTTGAAAAAGAGAGATTCTATTGGATTTATTAGAACTATTGGGATCAGGGCTGAAATGGTTTCCCATATGCAATTAACCCCATAGGATTTTGTTTTGAAAAGCCTACCTGGTCACCAATATAACATATTAACTGATATTGTGCCATCAGTTAGGTATAAAAGCATTTTTAAAATTTACTGCTTCTATCTTCGGCTGTTAAAAAATATAGTATGAATAATTATGGCACAATGTAACTATTTTTCTGTCCTCCCAAGCCAAAATACAGCATTGTTTTCTTCCCTCACAAATGCTGGGGAAACACTGGATATCTTTTTCATTTCCATTATAGGAGGAAAAAACAATAAAGTGGTGGCAGGAGGTTATATAGCAGTGCAAACATTAAAAGGGGGGCATTTTATTGTTGAAGTTACTAAGGGGAATAAACTACTAATATGTGAAAACACAGATTTAAACAATATTGTGACCCACAGTGAGAATAATGTTGAAACCTACAAATAACCAACCTCAACATTATTTTGTTAGCAGAATTAGCTCTCTACCAAGACTTTTCACAACTGCTTCTCTTTTACTCACCTTGGGGGAAGGATAGGTACATTCTTCAACAACTGTGCCAAATTGGATTGCTCAGGCTCCTGTTAGAGAATAAAATGCTGCTGTTATTTGGATGAGATATTTAAATATTCAGCACTATTATCACTCCCCTGCCTTCAAAAGCCAAATTTTTCATTACTACCTTCTTTAGTAATAACAGATACTACCTTCTTTAGTAATAACAGAGCCACTATTAAAGTGAAATCAGTGGATGTCAACATGCAGAACTGATGTTTCTTTTCCCTCTTTTCCCTGCAGCTACCTACATGGCTCCCAAATCAGCTCCAGAGAGAACCCCAATGTTCTAGACCAGACTTCAGGGCTCATGTAGGGGAACCCCATCATCTAGTTGTGAGGCTGGGAGCACCCAAAGGGGCACTCCTCAGAGTGTGCCATCCACCTCCTGGAGTGAAGATACTGTGGGAAAGGTGACTGCCCCGGAAGAGACCTTAGAAGGACTATGCTTAAGTGAGGAGAGACAGAGAGAGATCCAGAAAAGAAGGAACCAACAGAGGGCGACATCTTGGCAGGAAGGGAGGGAGAAATAAAAGGAAGAGAGGAGGATAGGAGGGGGCAGCTGAAGTTGGGAGAGGTGAAGGCTTGTTGGGTGACAGAGAGAAAAAAAGATGAACAGGAGAAAGATTGGGTAGAAATAGTGCAAGATCTGTGGATGGAGGAATGGATTGAGTTTAAAGTGCCTAGAGAGTATGCAAGAAGGAGTGGGAAAGGAAGGTATATTGCAAACCACCTTATTAGGGTGAAACTGAGGAAAGAACAGCGGAAGAAATTTAAAGAAAAGAGAGGCACAGAGACATGAGAATAGGGCATGTTCCAAAATTCCTGGAAGACCTCGTTGGGCGACTCCCTTCCAACCCAGATTATGACCGAACCCCGGGCAAGAATGTTTGGGAGCCTCAGGTGGGAAGGCTTTTTAACCCTTACCAGTAAAGTGAGCACTACAGTAAGCACTAATTAACTAAAGAGTTGGGCGTCCCACATAAGTGGCAGTATAAAGAGTTTAGTTTGACACTTTTACCTGTTGAGAGGGATTTGTTGGGGGTTGATGATAAGGCAGTTGAAAAGATGCCTCTGAAGCAAGGGACTGAGTCTGTTATTAATCTTAAGTATGACAAGTTGTCAAAAACAAAAGACACTTCGTTATGTTAAAAACGAACGGTGCCCAAGAATCATTGATGGAAGGAAAGGCAAAAAAGGGAGAATAGACCAGACCCAATCACACTAGCACAGTGGTTCCTAACTTTGGTTCCCAGATATTCTTGGACTAAAACTCCCAGAAGCCTTCACTATTAGCTATGCTTGCTAGGATTTCTGCTCTAATGTGTTCTGTTCTATAGGAGGAAACATAATTTCTCTTTTACAGTGCACTGATGTGGAGAAACAGTGAACCACCTAAGGACAGCAAGTCTGTTGCATAGATGAAACTTGAATAAAGTCTAGAGAGAACTGGAATTTGGCATGTTCATATTATATGTACAATATATTGCCTCATATTTCTATTTTTGATTATACTGTATACTGCATAAAACTTCCTGATTGAGGAAACTGCACGACACCTCCCACACTGTTGTAGGAGTGTCCAGAGCTATCACATTACAAAGGATCAATATACAAGGTATGAAACAGTAACTGAAGAAAAGGACCAGCTATGCTACTGTATTCCCATTGTACAGTGGGGCCCCGCATAGCAATGTTAATCTGTTCCGGACTAATCGTCGCTATCCGGAAACATCGCTAAATGGAACTAAAAACCCCATAGGAACGCATTAAACTTTGTTTAATGCGTTCCTATGGGGTGAAAACTCCCCGTTCAGCGAAGATCCTCCATAGCGCCGCCATTTTCGCCGCCTCGGTAAGCGAGGAAACCGCGTGAAAATGCGTGCGGTGGCCATTTGGGGCACCCGGCGGCCATTTTGGAACCGCCAATCAGCTGTTCTAAAAGCATCGCAATGCGAAGATCGGTAAGCAAAACGCTTACCGATCATCGCAATGCGATGTTTTCCCATTCACAACATCGCAATGCGAAGATCGGTAAGCAAAACGCTTACCGATCATCGCAATGCGATGTTTTCCCATTCACAACATCGCAATGCGAAGATCGGTAAGCAAAACGCTTACCGATCATCGCAATGCGATGTTTTCCCATTCACAACATCGCAATGCGAAGATCGGTAAGCAAAACGCTTACCGATCATCGCAATGCGATGTTTTCCCATTCACAACATCGCAATGCGAAGATCGGTAAGCAAAACGCTTACCGATCATCGCAATGCGATGTTTTCCCATTCACAACATCGCAATGCGATCACATTAGCGATCGCAAAAATTAGATCACTATGCGGATTCGTCGTTAAATGGTGCACTCGTTATGCGAGGCACCACTGTATTTCCTTTTTTATTGCTAAAACATTTCTAGATGAAAACCTTTCTCGGTGATTTTCAACACACAAGAAGGAAAGTAAGTCTGCAACTTTTAGGAAGTGCTGAAGCTCTTCAAATTGTTTTTAATGTGTTTCTTTCAGAAACTGTTTTAATTTAAAAAAACATCAGGAATATGAAAGGAATTGGGGGGGGATATATTGGTTCAGCAGTTCCTCTGTGTTGGCTCTACAAATTTCAAGCCAGCCTTGGGCAACAAGGGACAACAGAAGGTGGGGAAAATAAGAGAAAAATCACAATGACACTCCTTTCTCTAGCCCTAGAAAAACTTCAATGAATACAGAATCAACAAAAACAATGCCAGCCAAATAAGAGACTTTTTCTGGGGGGAGAGTAGGTTTCAGGCAGACAGTTTTAATCCTGTACAGTTCATTAAATGCTACCTCCACTTGTTTGGCATGTGCTGATTTATACTATGTGGCACTAGCATATTCTGCTATGAAGTGGCACAGGAAAAAAAAGCTGTTGTCCTTATTGTTTATGAGTGTGCACCTTAGTCTGACCTAGCTGATTTCCTAAACCATTCTGGTGGCAACATTCTGTTTGGCATGTAGACAATGTCTTTGTAGGTCAGCGTTCAATCCAGAGTGATGCTCAAATACTTTAGGGTAAGAAAATTTTTCACAATCTTGGTTCTCCGGCTAAGTTCCTCTGCTGCCTCTCTGCTGAACCTCCAGAGCTTCCTCTCTGCTTCTCCATTGTTTACGTGGAGGGCACAGAGCTGTATTTTTAAAGGCTCTGGTTTCAGCTGGGTGCTGTTATAATTTAAGGAAATATCTTCTAATGTATAGGTTAGCTGGTGCTCAGTGGACTTAAATGTTTTCCCCTCGACTGTCAAGGTAAGATCATCAGCATAGATGAAAACTCCTGGAGTATGGGAACACCAGTTGATCATTTGTGTAAATGTTAAAAAGTAATGGCGCTGGATTCTACCGTGTGGTAGATTGTTCCTTTGATTTCTCCAGTGACTGTGCCTCCCTTGAAATTCAACAAAGAATCTTTGATTTTAAACTAGAACATTTATGTTCATCCATGATCTTTAGTACGGCAGTAGAGCTTTTTAAGCAGTAATTGGTGGTGGATGGGCATCATATGCTGCTGTCAGATCAACAAATGCTGCTTCTGTTATTTTATTTACTATAATACTTGGTCTTACAAAAGTGGCACTTCCATATCTTTCGCTGACCTCTCAGTGACTAGATGTATCCCTGGCACTCTTGGTTGACACCGATCAGTTCCTCTGTAACTTTCTTAGAAACAAAGGATGTAACAAAAAAAATTTGTGGCACAGTGAAGCTAAGAATTCCTCTCTGGATGAAGAGGTGCTCTTTGTAGTAATAAAAACTATTGTCATTTATAGTCCTAAAAAGGATTGTTGGGTCATTTTGACCTTCAACAAGTTTGAGCTAAACTTTTTTCTTTAGCGTACAATATTGCTGTTCTTCTTGGAAGAATCTGTGTATAAAGTCCAGTTAATAAAGTCCTGGAGAATCAACGCAGAATGTGTCAGAAGAAAACTATTGCCAAATTTTTCTTCTACTAAAGGAATATCAAATACAGCCCAATTTCACCTGGAATATGGGAAGGAGAAAAGGCGGGGGGACAAGGAGGTAGATAATCTTTCCGTCTAGAAAGAGATGAGAATTTGTTTTTATACATCATGATACAGATTAAAACGATCAGTTCCTCTGTAACTTTCTTAGAAACAAAGGATGTAACATTTTTGTTTGTGGCACAGTGAAGCTAAGAATTCCTCTCTGGATGAAGAGGTGCTCTTTGTAGTAATAAAAACTATTGTCATTTATAGTCCTAAAAAGGATTGTTGGGTCATTTTGACCTTCAACAAGTTTGAGCCAAACTTTTTTCTTTAGCGTACAATATTGCTGTTCTTCTTGGAAGAATCTGTGTATAAAGTCCAGTTAATAAAGTCCTGGAGAATCAACGCAGAATGTGTCAGAAGAAAACTATTGCCAAATTTTTCTTCTACTAAAGGAATATCAAATACAGCCCAATTTCACCTGGAATATGGGAAGGAGAAAAGGCGGGGGGACAAGGAGGTAGATAATCTTTCCGTCTAGAAAGAGATGAGAATTTGTTTTTATACATCATGATACAGATTAAAACTTTTTGTACAGAATCTGCTGCGCAGTGCAATGAGTGAAGCTGCCAGAGTACAAAAACAATTTGTTACAAATGAAATGTGTTTCTCCAGCACAGCGAACAACCGTATGTATCAAAGCACAGAGTTTCCCATACTGATAGCTAAGGCATCCTGTATTTTTTTGTTTTGTTTTGTTTTGCTTGGTTTCTCTGAATTAATCATTACAGCTGGCTTTAGGGGGCTAAGGTAAATTGCTCAGATGGACTGGTGGACTTAGGTCTGAAGCAGTATCAGTAACACAAAGATGAGCTCCATGCAGATAAAATATGGAAATGCTATTCCTCTCAAAGGATTCCCAGTGTGGTGTAGTGGAGGACTAGGTCTTTGGAGAACAGGGTTTAAATCCCCACTTGGCCATGAAAACTCACTGTGTATGTTTGTGTGTAAGTCCTATTAGGGTCACTATAAATCAGGTACAACTTGACAGAACAAAACACACACATACAGTACTCCTCTCAAGGCTGAGCAACAAAGATGGAGGGAATTGTGGGAAATGGCAATCTCTTCTGGGGGCAGTCCCTGAGTATGAGAAATGAGTAAGTGCTCAACACCTGAGGCAGGATTCAGCAACTCCCCAGTAAAAAAATATTTGTTTGTTTTATTTGTGTCCTACATTCAGTGCCCAAATCTGGAAAATAAATATAACTAAATCTACAGTATATATATAAAACAAACAAATATATATATACCACAGCTCTGGCTAAAATAAGCGCTCAATTTTCAAATGTATGTTGGAAATGTAAACAGAAAGAAGGGACATTTTACCACATGTGGTGGATGTGTAAAGAAGCCCAAAAATACTGGACCAAAGTCAACCAGTTACTGCAAGACATATTAGAAACTCCAATATCGACGATACCAGAATTTTTTCTACTAAATATTTTGCCTAATACATTAGATTCTGAAAAAGCATTCTTAGCCAACCATGTGATAACAGCGGTAAGAATAGTATTTGCGAAACAGTAAAAGGAGTCTGGAATACCACAAATAGACAAACTGATGGGGAAAATACTGGAAACTGTAGAAATGGATATGCAAACAGAATGGTTGAATCCAAAAAAGAAAGAGGACCATCGGGAATCTTGGCTGCCACTATATACATGGTTGCAAAAAAGACCAGCTACATAATTAATAATGGGAATTTCAAAATACCTGTCTGAATTTAGATTTTTCTATATAATGTATATATTTTTGTATGGTAATTGGAATTATTCTTAGAAGAGATTATTTAGAATTATTATGGGAAAAATGCCGATTTGGAATGTGACCATTCAAATCCACCCCCTCTAAATGTATCCTTATCCCAGTTATCCGTTACCCTACCCTACCTCTATAAAGAGAAAAATAAATAATTTTAAAAAAAAAAAATCCTATTGAGTAGCTACGTACATGGGCATAACTTGACATGCCTGAGGTAGCTACAGCTATCCACAAAGCACTTCTGCCAGCACATTGCCCAACTGGTTGAAACAGTAACTACAAACCAGTTGCATGGCAGTCCTTCATGCCCAGCCCATTTATGATGATGTGATGTTACATTATGCCTCAAACAACAGGATTCCAGCCACTTACTTTGCTTAATGATATTAAATATTATCCTAGCAGTTACGTTAAAAAGTCAAATCCCCCTTTTCTCTGTTGTAGGCATGCTTGTGTCAAAGCATAACATGGGAAGAAAAAGCATTCCTGTTTATTAAACATACTGAGTAAGCACAAGGCTGGACTAGACAGGACTTTGTTCTAATCCAGCCTAGTTCATCTTATGTTCTTAATGCAGAAATATGACAGCATCATTTACTCCCAGAGGAAGCTGGTTAGGAAGAGACAAGGGCAATGTACTGAGTCAAGAAAAGATGTCAGAAGAATCTCCTGCTGACTGGGTGGGTGCCTTGAAGCTCACAGGAGCCTCTAATTAGCTCTTGTATTACATTAGTAGTTTTCTCACTAGGAGAAATTTGTACCCTAATGCACAACATGAAATATCAAATCAAAGAAATCCTTGTAGGTTAATACAAACTTCTGATGCAGAAAATCCTTAATCACAGCTCTACATCAGATGGCTGCCCAGCCTCTACTAAAAAATTACAGAGAATCTCATCCTCAACCAAAAATAGTTTTCAGTTATAGCTTAATGATTTTTAAGTCATCCTAGGTATAAAAGACTTACTCACACATTTTGAACAGAATATAATGTATTCAAGCATACCATTGGGGGGGTTGTTTTAATATTTTTGAGCTTTTCGGCTGAAATGCCAGATGTGTTCCCAATTGGTTTCTCAGTAGGAAGCGGAGGAGGACTTTCTGGAATCTCATTGGAAGCTGCAAAAAAATTAAGTCTTTTGTAAATATCAATATTGTAAAGATATTTAACAATAATGGATCTAACAAATCCAATGCAACTGCAACTTCTTCCTTTGTATGCACAAAGAAAGACACAAACAACAAGAGATAACCTGGGATGGGGAACATATGGCTTTGCCAATGTTGTTAGACTGCAAGTCCCATTCATCTCAGCTACTACAGTGGACCCTCTATTTAAGGAATTAATCTGTATTGGAATGGTGGCTGCAAGTCGAAAAGTCTGTAAGTCGAATCTCCATTGACCTACAATGCACTGAAAACTGATTAATCCCATAACCAGTGGTTTTTATTCTATTTTTATTCCATTTTGGTTTTTTTCTGGTCTGTAAGTCGATTCTCTGGCTGCAAGTCGAATCTAAATTTTGCAGCCAGAGAAGTCTGTAACTCGAAAAGTCTGTAAGTCGAGCCATCTGTAAGTCGAGGGTCCACTGTATATCCAAAGTTGAGAAATGCTGGGAGCCACAGTCCAATGACATCTAGATGGGCACAGGTTTGCCTATCCTTGATATAAGCCACCGCTAGAAATTCTGATGCACTGATGTGCACTATGCATTGTGTCAGATTTTTCCAACAAATGACAGTATATTACACAGGAAAGAATACTCCACATCTCTTTTTTTAAAGAGGGAGGACCCCTGGACACATTTGACTATACATGGCAATTTAAAATAGATATAAAACTGATGCTTTCTTTTGGTTGGTAAAGAGGGGGGGAACTAGTCCTACGAATGTAAATCAAGTATTAATTAGCAAACTAGATCAAATTCTATTATTCTAAAATGATATGATTGATTTTCAGCAGCACTTCTATTTTGTTTTTCCAAGCACAGTATTTCTTATTGTGGTACATAAAACTTGAAAACACACCAGAGGAATGATACTACATACTGTTTGAATATAGTAGACCACACACTTACTGAGGCTCTGCACAGACTCATAGGAAACAAACCTGTTTATACACACATGCATAGCAAAAATGAAACAACATCTTAAAGACTAAGCAATTTACTTCTATGTGAGCTTTTGTAGATTAGAATCTACCGACTCAGTCACATGAAATTATGTCTCTGAAGAGGTAGACCGCAACCCATATAAATTCACACTGAAATAAATCTGTTGAAATGTCAAGATGCCTCAATACTTTTATTTTTGTTACACTTGCTGAAACAAACTAATATGGCTACATGTTTAAAATCTGTACAAACAGAAGATCCTCCCAAACATGTACTAACATGAAACACACTTTTATTTTGAAGGAATCGCCCTCTTCAGCTTCAGTCAAAAATCAGGTCGTACCACTCTGTATATTCAGAGATCAGTATGATTAGTCTTCTTTGGAAAACGGATGCAGATCTAGTAAATTCAGTTCTCTTATGACCATTAAGTATGACTACCAACTGGACTGGAATTGTCCTTGGAGCCTAATTCATTCTCTTATTTTCCTAATGTGAAGACTGATATAAGCTCTTTATTCTTCTCCTGCAAGCCTACTCCAAAGATCTGATGTGTCAGATAAGCAAGGGGTAGATCCAGTAAGAGGGTAAGCCATGCCTTTGTCTTCAGTGTGGTGGGAGTCTGTAAACGGAATGCTTTTGTCACCTTTGTCAGATGTAGAGTCTAAAACTCCATTTTGTTTTTCTGACGTTCACACTATGTGGGCTAAAAGCTCACATAGTATCTGGCTCAATTTTTTGACTTTCTATTTGAACCCCAGGTTTTATACCATCTTTGTCTTATGACAAGTGGGGGACTTGAAAGGTTACCCAGGGATCCAGTGAAAGCAGTAACTCATTTTTTCCCTCCTTCTTTGTAAAATATTCCTGCTACCATTTGAATACTTGCAGAAAAGTAACTTTTAAGAAATATTTTTCTTTACTATTCCTTTAACTTAGAAGGCATTCTTAACATAAAAATAGCAAACAGAGCCACGGAGTAGTATATGGAAAAGAGCATGTGTAACTTAATACCATTATCTAGAGTTTCGTAGAAATGGAAATGTTCTCTGCATACATCCATGTATTTAAATCTGTTACATGTTTGAGTCCTGGCTCTAACTAGACTTTTGAGAAGATTTTTGTTCCATTTAGGATGGAAGTGCCCATTCTTTTGCCTGACATGGTTTAATAAGGCAGAGGTAAAAGGGACAAAGCAGGTCTAACTAATCAGAAATTGGAAGTAGAAAGCAAATTACACTTTGAATGTTGCAACACACACAGAAACTGGACTCATGACTCTTATCTGTAATTTCCTAACTGTGTAGGAGTTGCCCTGTATTGAGACACAAGAAGAGTCAAGTTTGCAAGACACAATGCAAATTTGTAAGCATTATTAATGTATGGGATAACATAGGGAAATTGCTGCAATTCTATAATAAAATTCAGGACAATATTTTTAGTTCATTTGAGCTATACTTTGTGCAGCAACTGATTTCCATCTAAGTCAAATATTTGTATACATCATATAAGGATGTATTTATTTACAGTACAGCTGGAATAAATCTGTGTAAAGAAATCTGAGCAGGATGCTGAAGTAGTTACAAAAATTGTGTCACCCAACCAAAGGTTACGCAAGAGTTAAATATTGAACAAATTTGAAGAGTTCACATTTTAATTACTGCACTGAAAGTCATGTCCAGACAACTTGCTAAGAACTTCAGAATTCACCTTTAATTCTTCACATAATGCACATTAAGAGGACACTTTAATACATATAGGATTATATACCTCTTTTCTTGTAAACAAATAAAGTTCAGATACCTCTTGTTCTGCCAGGTTGATAGCTCCTACTTTTCAAACATTATGACCCCCCTTTTTTAAATCTCTTTTTAAAAACTATCCTTAAACAACAAATCATAGAAAATGCATTCAATGATGTGAATATGGGTTGGTTCTGCCAGGGGCGGTTCCGTTGACAGTGCGGGGAAAAGGACAGGAGGCTGCTCTTCCTTTCTAACAGAATCATTTTTATTTGTGAACAAACTCAACTCGGCTGGCTCGAACGGTTCCATTAAACTCAACTCTGGTAACAACTTATAACTGCGAATTTGTGTGGTTATTTCTTTATCCTTTCTTCTTACAGGGGGGCTGGCCCAAATCGCTCCCTGTTGGTCATAGGACAGATTGGTAGGGTCCGTACCACACAAACTGTCCCACAACATGGATGTCTCACCCAGTCTCCCTCCCGCTGACTCCGAGTAAAGAGGGACTGGTACGGATCACCCACCTCCCCCCACGCTGACTGCGTGGGTAAACCACCACAGTCCATTCTAGGGGATCTAACTCTTGACCGCGCACGACGAACTCAGGAGGTCCCGGCAGTAATCCTCCATCAACTTCTAGATATGGGAATTCTTTTAGTAACTTCAGGAAACTCTCATGGCCCATACTCCATTCTGTCTGGACAGGCCTATCCTTCTTGTCTGCTGGTTCACTCTTTACCACTCTGAAACTTCCCGCCTTTTCGCCCTCATTTATATCCTCCCATACAATCAGATCAAGCTCCTCCCCTCTCTCATCAGCCAGACACACTTCCTAACATTGCTGCACCTCCCTATCATCTTGTTCTACCTCTACTAGTATTCCTTCCACACGTTCTGTGCCTCCTTCAGCTCCTTTGATAGAGGAGGACGACTCACTCCCTTTCTCTCCTTCACAAATGAAGAGGCTGTTTTTTTTAATGTGGCAAACAGGTCATTTAACCTATGGTAGGAATACATTTTCTCCACAACTAATTGTGATGATGGCATTCTAAGGTTAGATTCCTATAATACATTAATCTTGGAATAGTAAATTTAAGGTATGAGGAGACATGTCTAGGATTCTATTACAACAGCTTTATCTGAAAACATCAATCTGCATCTTCTAATAATTCTTAAAATTGTGATAGCAATTTAGCTATTGGCCAAAATCCTGTTACTTCGTGTAGTAAATTGCACTAGATCCACTGAATCAACAGGGATTTCTCTTCCATAAATTCAACTGCTACTTATGTTGCTAAAGTAAGTCACAGATAGAGTAGGCCCATTTGAATCAGTGCAACCTATGGAGGAGTTGATTCACCAAATCCCTGTTGATTCAATGGACCTACTCAAATGCAAGTTACTAAGCTAAGCAACACAATTTTGGCTGGTGTCACTGCAAGTAGTTATACTTGATTGACCCTGATAAAACAATTCATGAAATACAGATGGATTCCTCAGTACGGTGTGTTCCAAAACACTGGAGAAAAATATTCAGCTCCGGGATCTTTACCTTTTGTTGGCTTTGATGGGATTCGGATTACAGTAGGCTTCCTAACAACTGCTGGTTGAACGGTCTGTTCTTTCAGAGGCTCACACTTGGATGGTGTAGGAATAAGATCTAGGAAAGGTAGCAAATTTAGCACATTATTTTCTTTCATTCCAAAAGAAAGCACCAGAAACTTTCTTCCTTGCAATATATTGCCTTTCATGAGAAGAAATAAACGTGTGTGACAGAAATGTGAAAAACAGCCACATTGTATATTGCTATGAATTTTACTATAATTATATTGATTGTATTTATTTGATTAATGGTATAGCCACTCCAACTGTAAAAATACAACCTAAACTAGGGTTAATCCTTACAGGGTGTTCTCATGTTACTAAATGTCTATTGAAATGATCTCCTATAAATTCTTCTTCCATCTGAAAGAAAAGCATGCTATATCTGAGACCCCTTGGAAAAGTGTAAGTTGTAAGTGTTATAGTTTTTGTTGCCTCCACAAGGCTGTTCTGATGACACAAACTGACTGGCGAAGTAATAAAAATAAGACCTGCAGCAACATGTTGCACAGCATCTTTCTTTCCAGAGGGTCTGCTTAAGTCACCAATCAATCATTCCAACGATGGCATTCCTCCACATGCTTAGTCCACATTGGGCAGAATTTTGGATAGCTTTCCATCGTACAGTTTTTTAATACCTTTTTTTGTACTTCAACTGCAGTTCTTTTAAAACACGAATGGGACCTGTGAATTCCCATTGGAAGTGGCAAAGATCTTCTCTCCATATGCATTATTTCTTATCATTCACTGAATTACTAGAGCTATGCATGGACTTCAGAATGGAAAAACATCAACTGTTAAATACATATTTTAAGAACAGGGATTTTCATTTAAATAGGATTTTATTTATTTAAATCAGGTTTTTAACATATACAGGTCAAAATCCTGTTTCTTAGTAAACTGCATTAGAGCAGGCCAGCGGAGTCAATGGGGATTGGGTGAGTCTGCAAATTCCATTGATTCAAATAGGTCTGCTCTAACTGTGATTTACTTTAGCATAGTAAATTTTAGTTAGAGTAGGCCCATTTGAACCAGTGGAACTTACAGACACTAAATCTGGACTGATACAGTGGGTCTACTCTAGTCCAATTTACTGTATTAAGCAACAGGATTTGGGACACCATGTTAAAAAGCAGATCTGAGAACTGTAAAGCAAACTATTTTGAACATATATCAAAGACAAAAATCCATACCTACATGGCTTGATGTCAAAATGAAATAAATTAGAGCGGATTATTTTGAACCCATCTTAAATATTTCCTCTACTGGAAAATGTGGCAGCCAACTGCAGATTTCAAATTTAATTGCAGATTTTAGACACACACACACACACACACACACCTGTAAACAGCAAAAATAAACTAATGCTGATGTCAGTTTCATAAATTTTCCAAATATGCCAATGTCACTATAGATATGTGTACTTCTACACACAATATAACTTGTCATCATTGTTATAAGAAGTTATTTTATCTTTTTGAATAATCTCACCTGATTCTGACTGAGCGATTTCTTGAACATTCGAGTTAAGCGGTAGAACATCATCATCAAAACTGATTAGATCTCCTTCCACACATGGTATACTCTGTACTGGAGGTGGTAAAAGGTTCTCTGAAGGTGGTTCTGCAAGAGATCTGAAGGCACTTGTTTCTGCAGCTACGGAAAGCCTGGGAGCAGCACTTGCTGGCTTCAGCGGAAGTAGAGGAAGAGCAGGGCTTTCAAAAGAGACAGACTTCTTGGGAACAAGTGGCCTTGGAACAGGAACAGGAGATTTTCTCTGTCCATCACTGTTATCAGAAGCCTGCTTGCTTCCTAAATTAAGCAGTCCATTGCTGCTGCTTTTTACAATGGCTGGTTTTGGTTTCTTTGGCAATTCAGGCTTCACTGTAATGTTGCTCTCACCTTCTTGAGGCTGAAGAGGCCTTTCCTGGGAAACGGCCTTTAGTTTGGTTTCTGTGCAGGAATCCCACTCCTCTGAAGCTCTGACAGCCCCTGGCTTTGGAGCCACGACAGGTTTTTTTGCACTAATTATAGGTTTGGGGCCTAATGAGCGCGGAGATATTTCTGGCTTCTTTGTTAAACCTGTCGTGTCCATATTCCCTTGCATTTCAAAAACTTTAATTCTTGATACTATACTATTTTGGCTGGTGTTTGTATCCATATTTTCCACTACCATGTGACCATCCAAAAAGTTGTCATCTAGTAAGAACTCCAAGTAAAGTGATGGTGCATCCTTTTCAGTCCTTGATTGAATTGTTTCTTTCTGATTGTCTTCCGGGGTATTGTGAGTATCTCTAACGACAGGTTTCAGATTGCCTTTCGTTCTTGGTTTTGGCACGGGACGTACTACAGCATCAGGTTTCTCCTGACATGGCTGCTCTTCCAGGACAACAAGAAGTTCTTCATTTTTTGCATGATTGTTGTTCAGCAGAGAAGATGAAGGTCTAGGTGGCTTGCGAGGAATTTGCACAGCTATGAAAAGAAATGGATACTTCAAATTTATTTTGCCTAAGGTCACAACATTTTGAGCAATATATTTTAATTAATTCTAATTTTAATTAATTAATTTACAGCTGCCCCAAATTAATAATAGAGCCATAAAGCTAGAAGGGATGTCAGAAGCCATAAAAAATTGTATTTCTTTAGAACTATTTTTTTTACCAACACATAAATTTCAATGAGCAATTAATAAACGCATAATTAGCTAAAATTTCTTAACATATTTACTTATGTATTTTGTTCTCTCACACACACCAGCCAAACTAGACAGTGGAGCATGTGGTTTCAATTAAATCCTGTAAGCTATTAGTACTTTACACAAGGGATTGTATACATCTGATCTTAAATCGCTGTAGCAATTTTCAGTCATTATTAACATAACCTACTAACATCTAAAAACAGAATGATTTCATCAATGTAGCTAGGTTACCAGGAACAGCTTAGAGAACATCACAACATAGTTTAGTACAGAAATGCATGCATTAGATCATTTTTCAAGCAACATTCAAATCAGTACTACATTTGCAAACTGAAAATGTGACAAACTGTAATCAACAAGCATTAATATAGTTCCTATTTTGAAAACGAAAAAATACATCTACACCCAGAAAACAACGCCTGACTGTTCCACTGTATAAAGTATGAGATGTTTTGCTTAAGGCAAGGTTCTCCAACATCACACTAAGAAAATAAAATAAAAATGTTTATTTCACATGAAAAAAGAGATCCTTGAGTGCTTTTTTTGTACAAAGGCATGTTATAAGTTACATAAATAAATAACAATCCTTAGCAATGACTAAAATGCTAGAGATGGACAGACATTTATGTCTAGTGCATTTAAATTTTCCATGGGCCCACTCATAAATTCCTTCCATCTTTTTTCCACAGCAAACTACATTTCTTGAAACCCACAGAAAATTCCAGTATTTTGTCCTAAAGTACATATTTGCCTATGTCACAAAATTTGGAGGAGTGTGAGAACTATAAGATGCCTGCACTGGAAAATACAAACCAAGTTTATTTCCTTTTTCCTTTTTCATGATCCAAAAAAACCTGTCAAATATCACTAATTATAAAAAGGATTACGTTTACATTGTTCCAACCAGAAAATGCTCATCTGCAACTGTATGTTTTCCTGATGTACCATTTTATAATTTTAATGCTTTTTCACTGCCTGAAAACTCCCTTATAAATAGTTGAATGTTTAATTTCATTTGATAAAGAGTAAGAACCATGAAACCTATAGCTGTTAGGTGAATAAAATCCTAGAAACCTGTAGTCTCGTTTTTACACTTTGCAGATTAAGACGTCTGAAAAGTATGGTTGAAGCAATACTGCCTCTCGCTTCTATCTGTCTTGAGTCTAGTTCCAAAAATAAAAAATTGTGAATTTTCTGTCTTAGCCTACAATTAGAGTAAATTCATAGAGAAATGTCAACCCATATTTCACATATAACCTAGATAATATCAAACAGAAGTATCTTGGAGTTACTGAGAAGATGTAACATAAGCCCATATAATACACCAGGGTGGTTAACACCAGCCCTCCAGGTGGTTTTGGGATGCCGCTCCACTGATCCTTCACCATTGGTTATGCTAAAAAAAAACAACCACCTGGTATGCCACAGCTGCCCACCCCTCCAATACAACCATCAAAAGGAACATATTTTTTATCCAGCAGAAATTGGTTTTAATTGTAATCAAGATATATACCTTGCGTGCTTTTGCATTCAGAGGCAGTATGCAAATTACTTTTCACATCTATTCCAGGCAAATTGCTGATTATCTCTTCTGGAAAGTCGGTCTGTGTTGAAGATGTAGCAGTACATCTAGAGTTAGCGGCACTAGCAGCATTATTGTTGCTGGTTGTGTTGACTTGCACTTGATTGATTTCTTTGATTACCTGTTCATATGAAGGTGGCTGCAAAACAAAAACAAAAAAACCCCATTATCCCAAATGTCACATGATACTTCTCAACTGCAGCATTTCTTAATGCACTAAAAGCTTTTCCATGTCTGAAGAAATGATGACAATAACTAATAATACAATTACATTGCTGCATTTTAGTGCTCACTTTATCAAATTCATCCAATGGGTGAAGCACTGTGTTTTCTCACCTCAGCTGGAACAAGATCATTTGTTCTCCAAGAAGCCTGGGTATGAGATGATGGAAAAACTAAACCTTGTGGAGAGACATGATTTCCTCCTGGAAACCAAGATGATGGCCTGAGGGGCTCAGCTGCAACTATTGTGATTTCAGGACGTCTGAAAGGAAGAACGCCAAAGGTTAAAACTGATGATTACTGAACTATGTTGAAGAACAGCTAAATGCTGTTCCTTACTTTGATTTAGCTTTCACAAGGATCTTCAGGCAAGACTTTGGGCTCTCACTAAGCTATCTATTAAAAAACATTTTCCTCCCTGAACATTCTGAAATCTCTACAGAATTAATTAATTATTTAACTCCAAAATTAACTATAAAATTTTTAGCCAAATGTTTAATCTGCTTTAATTAGTGGTGGTTTCACCTTTTAGCATGTGTCTACAAAAGCTAATAGCAATCCCTCCCCCAAACCTCCAAAAGTATTATTGATCCACAAAAGTGCACCAATGATCCTGTGTTGGCAGAGCAAATCAATATTCTATATGACAATTCTAAAAATGGGGGCAGCCCAAACAAAACATTATAACTCTTTATAACTGTAATTTTTACACCAGGCTTCAGATCAGTACCAAATCTGGCAAATGTATTTGCGAAAGCTTTCATGGCCGGGATCTAATGGTTGTTGTGGGTTTTTCGGGCTCTTTGGCACTGGCGAAACGTTAGGAAGAACAACCTTCAGAACACGGCCAAAGAGCCCGAAAAACCCACAACAACCAAAATCTGGCAAATGTTTAGCAGTCTGCCTTTGCTCTGTGTCAAATTTGAGGACGCTTTGGCAAAGGATTTTTGAGTAATGCTTTTTTCAAAGTAAAACTGTTCTCCCAATTAAGAAATAGCATCCCCCAGATTCCACAGATTTAAAATAGCCCATATAAACCAAAAAGGCCAATCTCATTTATATTGAGAGAGAATGAATGGGCCCCACCTGTTTTTTGTTATTTGTTTGTTTGTTTTGTTTTTTAATTTAGAAAGAATCCAGGCTGCAGGTCTGAAATACTGATCCTCAAAAAAGGCCTTTCAAAAAGGAAAAACAGTCATTTTTTTGTAAGACCAAACATGCATGATACAGACTTGTCACAGGAACTTTGTGAAATGAAACACTTTATAGATTTGTAGGCAGGGGACAACGATCCCCAGTATACACCCTCTCAGAATTTTTTAGACTAAACAGCCTCCTCACATAAGTTTTCAAAGGGGAAATCTGCTCCACATCTAAGGCAACCTGCACTCACGTTTGACTCTGTCAATCAGGGTGCAGTTAGCTGACTCTTAGCTAGCTTTTTAACACATTCCTGACAAAAAAAGGCTTATCAGAATCATGCTTGCAAGAGATTCTGTGTCTGATTGTACAACTGGAGGCATAAAAACAATACACACACACACACACAAATATTCAGAAGCTCACTCATTTAAGCTGTGAAATTACTGTATTTACTTATAGCTGAGGGTGGCCTTACTTGATATTAGGAGAGCTTTGACCTATGTCTTGTCAAGTCTTCCGTCACAGTCTCCATTCTACTCATCTTTTCACTATACCATAGTTTGGTAATTTAAAAAACCTCCAAAGATGTTATATTTCATCAAGTCACTTCTGATGTGTGGTGACTATATGACTTAATGACCTCCCAAATATTCTATCATTATCAGTTCTGCTCAAATCTTGCAAACCAACAACATCTCATATTAGACTGTTCTCTCTTCCTACTCCCCAACACCACCACTGACATAGCAGCTATGGATACCTTTGCTGAGTCAACCTATCTCAAGTTAGCTCTTCCTTTTTTCCTACCACCCCACAGCATTTTTCCAAGCAACATTGTCATTTCCAGTCAGTTCTTTATTCTCTTTATATGTGTAAGGTAGGATAGCCTCAGTTTACTCATTTTTCCTAAGAGTTCAGACTTGACTTGTTTTCAGCTGGGGGGAGCTTTAAAGGAACACAGTACACGAAAGAGAAGTTCATGTTCACAATTAAGCCTCTTATATTTAATTCAGCCCAGTGCATATCCTGCTGGAGGATGTATTTTAAATCAAATATTAAAAGACAAGCTGTTGCTTTGCAGGAAGCAGCTACTGAGCTGCATCCTCAAAGGCAATCTGATTCCAGATGTGGGGGCTGTGACAGTCTGAGCCAAAAGTCCAGTCTAATCTGTCAAGCTAAAAATCCAGTCTAAGTAATCTAAGTAATTGCAGGGAGCAGGCAAAAGTAGGTCATTGGATGATCTGAGTTTTAAATAGTTCCAAGGAGCCTTGGCAAGATGTGGTAAGGTGCCTTGGTAACATGCAAGAGTTTATGAATGGTGAGTTGTCATCCACTAAGCTGACTATCCCAACTCACAGAATTTATAGCTCTCAGCATGCCTCTCCTAAAACATCCAGCTGTTTCTACTCAGCAATCACTTTAGAATAGGGGTGCAAGTGGTGTTCTCACTTTTTAATTCTTCACTGCTTTATGCTGCACATGGGCCTCACATCTTGCCAGTCTCTCTTCATTGCTGGATGTGTCACTGGCAAAACTAGCACTAGCCCATGTCCTCAGGAATTCTAAGAAGGTGGAGCCAGCTGGACCCCTGAATTCTATCTGTGCACTGGCTTTGCCCAGCTGCAGAAGATAATCCTTCCTCTCTGAAGATGACTTAGCAAAATGAGGCATGACAGTGGCGCATTTTAAACCCTAGTCATTTTGTCTCAAGAGAGGTGAGAAAAAAATGTGAGTGATTCTAAGAAGAGACCAGATGAGAGCCACTGTAGTGCAGTGATTTAGTATACTGCACTGGAACTTCAGAGATCCAGGTTAAAGTCTCCAAACAGGTATGAAACTCACTACGTGACCTTGGTCCAGTCACTCTCTCAGCCTAAACTCCCTCACAGGATTGCTGTAAGGCCGAAATGGGGAAGACAGCCGTGTATGCTATCTTGAGCTCCCTAGAAAAAAGTTATATAAATGTAAATATTGACATAAAGGCAAAAATCCAAGATGCAACACCAACGTGACGAAACATCCTTCCTTTCCCATCCCCCATGCAGCCCTCACAAAACCAAAAAATGGCTCCAGAGATTTCCTAGCACTACAGAACAGGTTTTTCAGGTCCACAGGTAACTGCAGGGGAAAAGGATATTGCCTCTCCCATTTCCATTAGATTCCACTATTCCTCCAGCAAAAGTGCAACTTTGGCTTCTGTCACAAATAAATAGCTACAGCAATATTACAGTAGATTTAAATTCTCCAAAAAGGGTAATTAGAAATGGAACAGCAATGATTACATCATACCTTCTCTCTCTTTGTTGTTCGCTATGGCCAGATGTCCGAGAAGCTATTTTTAAAAAAGCAAACAGTTAAATTTGGATTACAGTAGATATGAAGCTTATATATCGGTCTCAGTTCTTCCCAAATTATTGGTGAAAATCCTGTTGTGTACTTTATATCTGCGGAAAGGTGATAATGTTATTTGCTGGAGATTTTTAGTAATTAAAGGCCTTTCCCTTCTGTCCTGCAGCTTGTCCAACTTGCAATCCATTTCATTGCATGGTAGCCATGAGAAAGAAGAATAAAGTTTTTAATTACCTAAAGTCTCCCTGTGCCAATAATGTCATCATCCTCCCACAGACATAACTTACATAACAGGATTTCAGTAATGAAAAATAAATAATCTTTTGGTGACATCTGATTATCAGATAAAGCATTCATTAAAAACAGTGACAAATTTAAACACACAGGATATTTCTTAAAGCTTATTCTTAAACTTCTTAAATGGCATTTCTTTATGATGGGGATTAAGGAATCCTCACAGAGCACAGTAATGGTTTAACAACAAAACTGGATGTAAAACAATAATGATAGTATTAAAAGTCCACTGGCTTGAGCATTAGGTTTATTAACAGACTGATGGGCTCTAAGGCTCATAGAGAGCTCTTAAGCCTATGAGGCACCCCATTCATGTCAACACAGAGAGAGATAATCTGTTGTTTCCTGAAGTATGTACCTGTGGAGCTGCTTCCACCATAAAACAACGGTGCATCCATTTAAACTGGGGAGCTTTATATGTTGCTCACAGTTCATTTTATGCTTGTGTTGTAATCCAGATGTGTACATTAAAAACATGATGGAAGGGTGATAGTTCCATCCACTTGCTCTGTTCTTTTGAGGCCTCTCATAACCCTCATGCTCTCATAGAACCAAAGAAGGAGCCAGGGCTGGCACTTTCCATGTGTAACCCTAATGTAAGTCAGGCACTTACTACCAATATTAAATAATTATATTTGCGTTAGGCAGTTGTGGGTTTAATGCAACTTTATTAAGCCAAATGAGTCCATGACAGCCTAAGTGGAAGTATATTTTTATTAGCATTATTAATTTTTATGGATGTGTAACCTTTCCCATTTGTCTTATGTGATTAAACAATAAGCAATTAACCAGGCAGAAAGATCCCAGAGCCATATGATTGGTGGTGGGGAATCTTGGGCTTTTGTGCAGAAATGAATTCCCCTAATTTCACCATTGTGAATTCATAGCAGAGACCAGTAAGCTCCTGCTGGGAAAGGGCAGCAGAGACATACCTCTTCCACGGGGCATATTTGATGTGCACTATTCATGAGTGCTGAAGGGAAAAAAGATGAGGTTATGGCAGAGGAAGAGAAAGGCAGAGATACAAGAATAAATCATGCCAACAGGTAAGAGCCAATGAATATCCATGGGTTAGTTGATATTAAAGGTATCATAGTACTTTTCCCCCACTAAGTCAACTCCAGAAATTTTTTAAAATGCATGTTTTAACATTTAGAACAAATTCAAAAGTGTCTTTTACTTAAAGTGCAACAGCTTCCATTATTGTAAAACGAAAGAATGGATGGATTAATTTCTCTTTATAGCAAAGGTGGCAAACCATGGCTTTCAAGATGTTTCTGGCTTACAATCACTACCAGCTGCAATCCACCATTGCCAACATCAGCTTTAAAGAGGCCCCAATAAAAGCCTGCCTCAAAGTGCTGAATATTGCTGTGGTTCTGCTCATAAGCAACATGATATGTAGCTCTGCACAATGTGCAAAAATCATGGTCAGATTTAATCTGCAAAAGCAGCATGTTCAATCAAACACTTTGTTTTGGAAGGCTTGTAAATACTGCTCTGTTAGATCTCTTCTTATCTTTCTGTGGCCAGATTTAAATACATTCCTTTCCTAGTGTTCTTCAGCCTTTTTATACTGTACTTGAACTTGTAAAGTTTTCTTCTTTTTTATGCTACAACATAGATGGCAAGAGATAACAGCTAAGGATTCATGTGTGTTAAAAGTATGGCTATCCCTCGAAGATTCATCAAGCGTCAAAATCCACATTGTACTCTTTTCTGCAAAACCTGCTCTACTAAAACTGGGCCTGATCCAAGAAAACTGCTCATGATCTTAACCGGACAGTCACTTCAGCTTGTGAAGTGAGGTAGCACTTCGCCTTTCCAAGCTCAACTCCGCAGAAGCAGCTTTCGCAGTGGGGTTAGGGGCTACTATCGGAAGTTCTTATAATGACTGCTTCTACAGTCATATTATGAATGTTGACCATATCCCTATCCCCTCAAATCCCTTAGCATGTCTTGAAATTAAAGGTTTCTCATTATATGGGCCTGTTCATGTGTTGCATTATGGGGAGAATTTGCTGTTCAGTCTTGAGCATGCTCCTTTTCTCTCCTTATAATGAGCAAATAAATAATAAACTAAATATCCTGGGCAGCATTTACACATGCAGAACTGCATCTGTACAAGTTGCTCCCACATTCTAACAAGGGCACACATAGGTGTGAGCTTAACTGTGTGAGATGGTTGTGCAGCCAGATGTGTAATTGCACCTGAGGAGCACCTTGTACCAGCTTCCACAGTTGGAACTCTGACTCTACAAACACTGAACAAGACACTGGCCAGTACTGCACAGGCCACTTGAGTACAAAAAAAATCTGATAATTCTAAAAACACATCCAATAGGTAAGGAGATAACACATTCAAATACAGTGGTGCCTCACAAGACGATTTTAATTCGTTCCGCAAATGTGTCGTCTTGTGAAAAAATCATCTTGCGAGGATCCCTATGCATCGGTCTCAAAAAAAAAAAGTCTTGCGAAGCATTGGTCTAAAAAAAAGTCTTGTGAAGCACAGTCATAGAAAAAACATCTTGCGAGGCACCATAGTGATCGCAAAAACCAATCGTCTTGTGGGTTTTTCGTCCCACAAGGCAATTGTCTAGTAAGGCACCACTGTACAGTCCAAGCCAGTCTCCTTACATGCAGAAAAATGGGGAAAATTTACTTTGATATAGAAATTGTTAGTGAAAATACACTTGCGAAACCATGCAAAATGAGAGTTAGTAAAAGGTAACAAAATTCAATGTAATTAAAAATACAAATGCTGAGAATTCCACGTAACTGTAATTATGCACTTCAGCTTGTTGAGGAGGAGCAAAGAAAAGGTGATATAAAGAATGAGGGAGTTTGGAAACAGTGTTTAGAATGGCCATGAAGAAAAAATGGAACAGCTGCACTTTAAACAAGGTCTACAGTCTACACTATGATCCATTTTCTATATTTATTACAATGTAAACTATTAATCAATGAATAGGATTGAGCTGGCACATTCACACCTTGAAATAACCAATACTGTGAAAGGAACAACCTCAGACTTGTGCACTCTGCCTCATGTTCATATAAGATTAAGCATAACTTACTGGACCATCAGAACTTTGTCAAACTGCATTCAAACTTAGCTAGAGTAAGTGGAAACAACCCAGTATGAAAAAATATGAAAACGGCTTGCTTCAGTGAATTACACTCAAGCATAATCACAGTTTAAGGACTGAATAGCACATGAAATTGCAAATAATCTAAAATGGAAGTGAGAGCTTTGGATCTTCTCATAGCCATGCTGGAAAAGAAGACCGTGGGAAGCACCAACACAAAGCTCGCTGATGCTACTTCTCGTAACAGTATACAAGGGCTAAATGCAGCATTGTTACCTGGCTTAGGTTATCCTGTTCAGGGGAAATGGCATTAATAAACAAGAAAATAAACAAAAATGACCAGAATCCTATTCAAATAAAGTATGCATAATTTGCCATAGCAAATTGTCAATGTATCAGGGTCCATCTTGGTTATTCAACTGAATGTGTGTCCAGGCATGTGCCCCATCATGTCATCAATTAGGTCCAATTAGCTGTGGCAAACCTTACACAAATACCAACAGGATTCTGGTCAATATTTCCTCTTTTTTTAAACTTTTAATGTTTATTACATTTAAAAAAGAAATTATAAAAATAAGTAAATAATTATCACAATATTAGCACATAGCCAAAATAACTTTCTATTATCTTTCGCAAAACAGTAAGTCTTTAACATTTTTACTTCCTTATTTTCCACCAGACATTTATTTTCTTTGCAATCTTAATAAATACCTTTCTTAATTCTTATTTTATATCCATATTAACAATGTGCTTTACTTTGTTTTTACTTCTGTTGAGAGCAATTCTACGTCTAATTTAAACCTAAGTCGCTTGGTACAGGTTTGGAATCTTTCTTCCATT